TAAATCCTTCTCTTGCTCACTCTACGGGGGATCATATAAACTGAGATTTGGAGATCTTGTTCAGGTTAGCCATAAAAAGGTTTGGGATTTGTTTTTTTCTACTGTGATATTAATGATTTGGCTCTAAGGCGAGAAATCTGTACTTTCTGATTGATATTCCATTATGAACAGTTACATTGCTAAAATAGCTCATGTTTAACATTTTTTTGTTACATTACTATTAAATACAGCATAAACTATATTCAACAAACACAATTTCAAAAAGGATAATATAGAAGTTAACCTTTATTTTCCATTTTTAAGCAGCTGTGCCTCTCACGACTTTCCAAAACAGGTCATATTCGTAGCTTAAGAACCGGTCATACTCAATATACGCGGATACTCTAGTAACCAGTGTTCTTATAAAATAATCGTGTCATTCATGTGAGTGATAAGTTGTCACGTGACAGTAGATATCCAATCAAATAACAGATTTTGTGATCGAAAAATCGAAAAATTATTTCTGTAATGTTTTCATCATTTAGGGCAACCAAACATGATTGCAAAACAAAATAGGTATTAATTATGATTGTAAATCGATGAGGAAACACTGAGGTATGTATTATTTATTTATTCGAAACGAATTTCAGCATCTGGATGTCGATCTGTATTCTTCACGCTATTATCGCCCACCGATATTTTTCATATTTTTCTACGAATTTTTATTTTGGCGTCTCTCCTTCAACGCTAAATTTCGCCAAAGTTTCCACGTCGTTAAAGTTTCCACTTCTACAGTATTAGTCATTACTTGGAGATCTCTTCAGTATTGTATTGTCTTTATAATTTGTGCCTTTGAAACTCCTAAATGGAATATCTACCAATTTAATCAAAGGTAAAGTAGATGGTAAATATTACATTGTGACAATACAGATTCATGAATGTATATAGTGTTTCTTGGGATTTGCTACTCTGTGGAGTTGCTCATTTCTAGTTCATCTGTTGGAAGGGGGTATACATGATCTTTCTTGATGCAGGGCTGAGACCCAGTAAAAGTGAAATACAACAAAAAAGTGATGTTGTAATAGGTTTTTTATTTTGGGTAAATTTAATCTAAAACATACATAGATACATAGTCCATAGATTCATCTTTGCGTACTTGTAAACATGCCTGTAAATCTTCTTGAAATGAAAGAATGTACAGTAAAACCTGCCCGATGGAATACCTCTCTGTAGGGAAAACCTATGAACAAGGAATGCTTTTCAAAAGAACCAAATATTTTTCCATTGACTTACATGTTAATGGACCCTCTCTGTAGGGAAAACCTGTAAACAGGGAACAAGGAACACTATTTTGGGGCAAATTATGAAAATTCACCTGTGAACAAGGAATATTGGTGACACTGTATATTCCATTGTTCTTCAGAGGTGTGGAAGTCTCTGATTCTAAAAAGCTTGGATTAATATGAATGAGATTAAGATAAGCCAATTGGTCACAGGATGTAGCATCTCACCCATTGTTAATTACCCTGAACAAGGAAACTTTCCTCCAGTCCCAAGAGCATTCCCTGTTCGCAGGTTTTACTGTACATGGTGTTTCATAATGACTGGCTAGATTACATGGTTCCAGAGTCTGAATATCATTATGTTTTTGGTCTAAATATTGCTATTAAAGTTAAAAACTGTTTAGCTGAATCAGAAATTTTGGAGTCGAATTAGTATTCTCTCAAATAAGTGCACAGTGCAGCTCCCAAATTCTCCTGGAGGAGATGTCTCAAATTACAAAATACCCGGGATTTTTAAAAGATAATATATGGGCGATGATAGGTATTTCATATCTCTGACAAGATAACATAATGTCATACCTCGGTGGTTTCCTCGTTGGTTTCCTGCATTTACACTCCTGAATGTGATTTTGTGGGTTACTGTAGAAGTGGAAACTTTAACGACGTGGAAACTTTGGCGAAATTTAGCGTTTAAGGAGAGACGCCAAAACAAAAATTTGTAGAAAGATATGAAAAAATATCGGTGGGCGATAATACCGTGAAGAATACAGATCGACATCCAGATGCTGAATTTCATTTCGAATACATAAATAATACATACATCAGTGCTTCCTCATCGATTTACAATCATAATTAATACCTATTTTGTTTTGCAATCATGTTTTGTTGCCCTAAATGATGAAAACAATACAGAAATAATTTTTCGATTTTTCGATCACAAAATCTGTTATTTGATTGGATATCTACTGTCACGTGACAACTTATCACTAACATGAATGATACGATTATTTTATGAGAATATACCAGTATTTATTCCTAATAATAATAATAAATAGAATAAAGTTTGATAGTGAATTAGCCGAGTTTGTTACTTATTTGATTGTTTGTCGGGTATTAACACCTACTGTACGGTTTGAGCACATTGATTGGGGATTACACACAAACATAAACGACTTATCTTTGATGGTGACATGCCATTCCTCGAAAGGCAAGTTTAATTATAGGGCTAATAGCGGTGATATTGAGCTAATAACTGTGATATACATATTTACAACTCTGGGTTTACAAAAATGTAACCAATCGTGTTGGTGAATAAATGCTTCATGATAACCTAATAATAAGCTTATAAGCTCGCCTAAGGAATTTTCCATTTTCTTGATTGCTGGTCCGGGAAAGTTTAATTCGGCAATAGAGTTTTAGGGACCATCTCGCTTAAGTTTTATTTCGCTAAAGTTTCCACTTCTACAGTAATCAACATATATGTGTCAATATAAATGAAAACATTCACTCCAATCCTTCTGAGCAGGCGATTGACGGCAATTCCCGAGTGTACCATTAGTATCCTTACATCACCCTATATCCTAAGTTGGCACTCAGCTACAATTTTGATAATATTTTATGAAAGAGCATTGCCAACACTATATAAAAGCATATCCATTTCATCCACCTATCTCAGGATGGCGTTTTACTAGACTGAATGCATAAGCACTCTGTTCTCCAAAACCTAGACTGAAATGCATAAGCACTCTGTTCTCCAAAACCTTGACTGAAATGCATAAGCACTCTGTTCTACAAAACCTTGACTGAAATGCACAAGCACTCTGTTCTCCAAAACCTTGACTGAATGCATAAGCACTCTGTTCTCCAAAACCTTGACTGAATGCATAAGCACTCTGTTCTATAAAACCTTGACTGAAATGCATAAGCACTCTGTTCTACAAAACCTAGACTGAAATGCATAAGAACTCTGTTTTCCAAAACCCTGACTGAATGCATAAGCACTCTGTTCTCCAAAACCTTGACTGAAATGCATAAGCACTCTGTTCGACAAAACCTTGACTGAATGCATAAGCACTCTGTTCGATCTACAAAACCTTGACTGAATGCATAAGCACTCTGTTCTCCAAAACCTTGACTGAAATGCACCAGCACTCTGTTCTCCAAAACCTTGACTGAATGCATAAGCATTCTGTTCTCCAAAACCTTGACTGAAATGCACAAACACTCTGTTCTACAAAACCTTGACTGAAATGCATAAGTTAATGGTTCTCCAAAACCTTGACTGAAATGCATAAGCACTCTGTTTTACAAAACCTTGACTGAATGCATAAGTAATCTGTTCTCCAAAACCTTGACTGAAATGAGCAAGCACTCTGTTCTCCAAAACCTTGACTGAAATGAACAAGCACTCTGTTTTACAAAACCTTGACTGAAATGCATAAGCACTCTGTTCTACAAAACCTTGACTGAAATGCACAAGCACTCTTTTCTATAAAACCTTGACTGAAATGCACAAGCACTCTGTTCTCCAAAACCTTGACTGAATGCATAAGCTTTCTGTTCTCCAAAACCTTGACTGAATCCATAAGCACTCTGTTCTCCAAAACCTTGACTGAATGCATAAGCTTTCTGTTTTCCAAAACCTTGACTGAATGCATAAGCACTCTGTTCTCCAAAACCTTGACTGAATGCATAAGCACTCTGTTCTACAAAACCTTGACTGAAATGCATAAGCACTCTGTTCTCCAAAACCTTGACTGGAATGCATAAGCTTTCTGTTCTCCAAAACCTTGACTGAAATGCATAAGCACTCTGTTCTCCAAAACCTTGACTGGAATGCATAAGCTTTCTGTTCTCCAAAACCTTGACTGAAATGCATAAGCACTCTGTTTTACAAAATCTTGACTGAATGCATAAGTAATCTGTTCTACAAAACCTTGACTGAATGCATAAGCTTTCTGTTCTCCAAAACATTGACTGAATGCATAAGCACTCTGTTCCCCAAAACCTTGACTGAATGCATAAGTAATCTGTTCTCCAAAACCTTGACTAAAATGCATAAGAACTCTGTTCCCCAAAACCTTGACTGAATGCATAAGTTATCTGTTCTCCAAAACCTTGACTGAAATGCATAAGAACTCTGTTTTCCAAAACCTTGACTGAAATGCATAAGCATTCTGTTCTCCAAAACCTTGACTGAATGCATAAGCACTCTGTTCTCCAAAACCTTGACTGAATGCATAAGCACTCTGTTCTACAAAACCTTGACTGAAATGCATAAGCATTCTGTTCTCCAAAACCATGACTGAATGCATAAGCACTCTGTTCGATCTACAAAACCTTGACTGAAATGCATAAGCACTCTTTCCTCCAAAACTTTGACTGTCTTATTAGTACAACACCTTTCGGGGCTCTAGTTAGTTATAAAACTCTTTAGCCGAATCAGAATTGGTGGTTGATGGATGATGCATGGTCATTATGATGCACCCTGTATAAATTAGGGTCAGAATAACCAATAGAGAGAGCTGACTTCAAAATCTGTAGAATTGGTCTGATTGGAATCCATAAATTGTCAATTAGTCTGCAGGATTACAATATTATAATTGTCATGATGTTGTCTGCTTCTACTTAATTTTAGCTGGTTTGAGAACACCATATATATCAGTCTGCAAGTTGAAATCTTTGAATTTGCCACTAGCCTTATCATTGATTTTTAAGATAGTGATAACTTTTTTACAGAAAAAGCTTGCTGCTCTTGGAACGTTCCTGAAACTTTATAGCTACACCAGCACCATCTATCATCAGGGTGGTAGGGTACAAGAGGAAGAATGTGAGGTTACAATGAATTGTAGGTGAGCTCATAAAAAATCTTGTTTTGTCTGCTTCCTTATTTGCTGTTTGTTTGTATACATCTTTTAGATAAAGGCTTAAAGGTATAGTCTGTCTTGAAAAATTAACATGTTAACTATAAAACCAAGGTAATGATATTTTCTAACGATTGAGCGTAGCGAATAAGTTTGAAAATTATTTAATACTGTGGTACTTCACACAATTTTGATACTAGGTATGGGGTGTTCTATAGTTTGTTACGGGGGTGTATATTTGAGTATTTTCTCTTCTATTTAAGTGACGATAAACGGTGGTATTGATTGAATGAGTTGTGAGTGATTTATGTTTGGAAACAGGTTTAGATATTCCCTTAGCAAAACCGCATGCATGCAAAGTCCATGCAAAGTGTATGCGATTTTTCCATGCAATACCCATGCAAAACACATGCAGCAGAATTTTAACTCATTTAAAAAAACCATGCAACATCCATTCAAATCCATGCAAAGTCCATGCAACATCAATTCAAATCCATGCAAAGTCCATGCGACATCCATTCAAATCCATGCAAAGCACGTTAATCCACATGCAAAGTCCATGCAGGCTGCGAGAAATATTGTTAATAAGTTCCATGCAATGTCCATGCAAAATTGCATGCATCTGCATGGATTTATATGAAAACCATGCAATCCACATGCAATATTGCATGGACTCGCATGATCCATGCAACATCCATTCAAATCCATGCAAAGTCCATGCAAAATCCATTCAAATCCATGCAAAGTCCATGCGGTATCCATTCAAATCCATGCAAAGCACGTTAATCCACATGCAAAATTGAATGCATCTGCATGGGTTTTAACGAAAACCATGCAATCCACATGCAATTTTGCATGGACTTGTATGGTTCATGCTACATCCATGCATCTGCTGTTCTGCCCGTAATATACAATTCGTATACTATCTAGTATCAACTTTACTGACAATGTCAATCAATCAAGGGGCACCTGTTTTAGATTGTGAGAGTTAATAATAGTACTGCTTCCTCTGCTGCACATTAGGTCAAGGATGCCATGTGATCAGAAGTCTTCTAGATGCAACATTTATAATAAGGCATTTAAGCTGACAAATGTCACCACCAATTTCATATGCAAATGAGCTAATTTACACTTTAATTTACACTCAGTTTACACCTTAGTATACACCCACTTTACACTTAAGTTTACATCTACTTTACATCCAGTTCGCACTTAGCTTTCACTTAAGTTTACACTCAGTTTACACTTACTTTACACCCAGTAAATAGGTGACCAATTCCACATGCAAATGAGCTAATTTACACCTAAGTTTACACTCAGTTTACACTTTAGTATACATCCAATTTACATCAAGAGCACATTCTGATTGGTCAGATTTTAAACTTAATTTACAGTTAGTTCACATAGTTCACCTAATCCTTAATTGGCAAAATGCTAACTGCTTATCGCAGGGGGAGAGAATGCAAAGATATTCTGAATTTTGAAGCACTGTGATCAGAGAATAATATTAATGAAGATACAGGGGGTCCAAAGCATAACGAATTGCAAAAAATTACAAAAACAAAAATCCCATGTTAAATCGCCATGGGGGTTTTCCTGGAATTTTCTGTCTAAGCGCTTTAAAAAGTATTTGTAGGAGTTATGCTATAGTACAAATATCACAGAATGATCAGCATTAAAAATCTATACAAGTAGTTCTGCTCAGATTTTAAATTGAAGTTTTAAACAAAAAATGCTAAAATAATTCTGTCTTGTAAAAAGTTCAAATCCGTCATCTTGAATTATGATGTCACAATGACACTCTTTTGCATATTCAAGAAAAAAACCATAAAATATGGGTCTATATAATTTATTGGGCCAGCTTCCTTCTCTTGCTTCTAGATTCTTTTACAAATAACTTTTTTATTTTCTTCATTTTTCCAAAAAGTTTCCAGTCTCCAAGGAGTTAATGAATGTATATGTCCTATATGTAAAACCTATACAAATAAACTGACCCATATTGAATTACAGCCCAGGATATAATGCCATCATGATTCAGATTAGAATGAATTCTAGGTGAAAAGATCAAAACAAACAGGCAAAGCACAAAAGGTAGAAAGATTCAATGGATATATTGAAAAGAAATTTAAAGCTTAAGAAAATGGATAACTAAATGAACAATGATGATGAAACTGGAACAAATGCACAACTAATACCTAATGGTAAAGTTGACATCAAAATCAAATAAAGTAAAACTGCATCAGGGCCGATGTTATAGGATTTTGTGAAGACTTACCAAAACCAAAATGGCTAAGCCAGCTTTGATTGAAAGAGAGGCTGCATGAGCCTCGTTTTGGAATTAGGATTCAGTCTGATTCAAATTGCATGGTTCTTGCATGGATTTCAGTAGTCCATGCGCATATATGCAAAATTGCATGGTACTTGCATGGATTTTAGTTTTCTATAATAAAACAGTTGCATGGACTTTGCATGGTAGTTGCATGCTGCATGTGAATTGCATGGTGATTGCATGGAAATATATTTTGGGGAATTTTTAAAGTTTCATTCGCATGGACTTTGCATGGGCATTGCATGGATAAGTGCATGGGTTTTCTGTTCAGCCTTCTCTTTCCAAGCGAATTGCATGGACTCGCATGGATTTTTTCTGATTGCATGGACTTTGCATGTGCTTTGCATGGAAAAAATCCATGCGCTTTTGCTAAGGGTTCAAGTCATTCGGCTTTGTGACGCTACACTAGCAAGCAGCATTCACTAAATTTACCAAACACGGTTGATTGTTTTATAGTATATTTTAAACGTAATTTTATTTCGATATTAATGTTATAAGAAGTTATGTGGTTAGAATTCTTAAATCCTACAAACGCCTTGGGGGTAGGTGGACCTCCTTGTGTATAAAAAAATAAATATACAAGGTACCTTTGGCACTTTGCAAAAGGGGTCGCCGCGAGGTTGGCATTAACCTTCTGCACTCTGACTTATTTCAGCAAATATATCCCACGCATCTGACTTATTTTTCAAAAATGATATGCCTGGACTAAATAATTAATATCTCAATAACTACAGAATGAATCTGGATAAAATTTTCACAAAGGGAAGATACACTAGCCTGGCTCATGAGAAAAATGTTCTCATGAATTTTTTTCGTACATAAACACGACTGGGCATAAATATACCATGAATACTCCTCCGGAATCCGCCGTTTCGCCCCTTAGGAGATTCAACGTCTGGTCAGAATCCAAAACTGAATTTGCAGCGATCGAATGTTCTTCTTTTCAGTTCAGAAAATATTCTAGTTTCTATTTTCGATGACCATTATCGGCTTCCAAGAGCCTAAAGAGCTCGAATTCGCAATCCATTTCCTCCACATTTTCGTTGTGATCGTATTTGGCCATCATTTTGTACGATTTGTTCACTAAAAACGACTTAAACACTGTTTAAATTGTTGAATTGAGAAATATTTTTCGAAACATCGCCATTTCTAGGTCAACAGGAAGTCACCTACTAAGGACTGAATAAATCGGGCAATCTAATTGGATCATAAGAACGGCGGGAAAAAGTAAAGTTTTCAAAAGTTATATTTGTGTCGTCCGGATCCGCCGGTGGATTCTGGCGGTAATTTTGAATGGGCGGACGCGGTCGCTGGTGGTCTGCTAAAGGTTAAAGAATTCAATATAATATTAGCCTACGGGGCATAAGTACTGTACTGTAGAAATTATATATATTATTGTTTCCGAAACCCAAAATGGGGCTTAATCTAGATAAAAGCTTTGCCTCCGAGGCATATGAAATGAGTTCTATTTTTGAGACAAGTTGAGTAAATTGATTCAGGAAATTTTTAAAAGTTTTGTCTCTGAGACACATGTATCAAGATTGAATTATTGTTGAATTTTGCCTCTGGGGCATCAGTAGATTAAGAATATTTGGTATCACGGGGTACCATCGAATAATTTTGGCAACGTACCGGAGAACGACATTTTACTAAGAAATGGCAATAATTTAGCACAATATATTTTTTAACTAGAGTTCTACTTTGATTTTGACAAAAGTAAGTATTCCATGCAATGGCTATTTCATTCATAAGTTTGTAGGAATTCTGTTGGAACCCAGTTCTGATCAAGTACGAAGTTATTGAAATCGGCGCAGTCGGACTTTACTCCGAAAGATGGTTTTTCGATTATAACTTTTTACAACATTTAAGTATAGACTTTTGAAAAAAGTACAGAATAGTCCTTGTACTATTGAATAATTCTGTTATTTCTGATTCACACGACTCTGATTTGTTTAATTAAAAAAAAAGTTTTAAAAATATTACTTAGGAACGTAACCTCTTACAATATAACTGCCTGCAGAGTACGACAGCATAAAGGTGACCAACACACCTGTTCACCTATTGTCAAGATTGATTAGATTAATTATTGCATCTAAAAATGTTATGCTCTCTTTATCAGAAGGAATATTATTCAAGATTTAGATATAAAATGTGATAGATACAAAATATTTTACCATATTTTAATATTTTAATTTTCAATTAAAGGAGGTGTATAACTATCAAGGGCTTAGAAAACAATAAAAATGAGTTTTCTTTTGAATAATATCATCAATTAGATTCATTTTCATCATTTAAATGCAATAAATACACTTTCCCTTTCTAATCAAATGTGGAAGTGCTCTAATAATGAAAGTATTTCGCCGTTGTTAGGAATTCCCCAAAACAAATGTCACATGAATGTCTCCATACCATCCAACCCATATTGATGACGTCCGCCCCTCATTAGATACACTGGACGAAACGTTGTCAAAATTGCTAAAAGTAAACAGCTCGCACTCCGTCAATATTTGATAAATTTATGTTTTCTTTAGATTGAATGAAAGATGAGTATCCACTCCAAATGTGAAAGTAAAAATCAGTATTATATATACACTTTAAGGCTTTAAAAAAGTGCAAATTATTTTACTAGGTATATACAACCTTTAATATAGGTCAAGTAAAACATTTATCAATTGACACTTGAGCAGTGTGAAGTGGATTACACTATGTTCCTGATAGCCTCCTGTGGATCAAATTTCAGCATGGTCATGTTTTAAAATGAGAATGTAGGTGGACAAAAGAGGAATTAATGAGAAAAAGAGTGAATGACTTTAATCAACAATTCAAATTACATTAAAATGCACAAAAATTAGACACTTCATTCAAATTTTACAGAGAAAATGAGTGAACTATTGCAGGAGCAGATTGATATTTGATGTAATAGAATTATAGAGTTATAGATAAATGTGACATGAAGCACTGCCTACTCTGAATGAAATAACATTGGACAGTTTTGCACTAGGGTCAAAGGTAATTTAAAAAGCTTTAGACAACATGTTTACAGTAAGAATTTCACCATACTGATGTAAGACAACAGAACACAGCAGTTATAGAAGAGCACTTGAGAAAAGATGGGTGCAAACATGTCCAAAAAACATAAAAGCTGATTTAATAGTCTCATCTGTAAGTTGCAGATTGACAACGTTGACAATATTTGTGATTTCATCATATCAACTTTTAATTTCAAACTAGTTAAGTCAAGAATAAAAAAAATGGAAGCTGAGAATTGGAATGTTTTGCTACATATCCACAATGCATAAAGACTTTTTGAATGAATTAGAGAATGGAAGAAAGGATGGAGATATTTGCATGAAAGATTAAAAATTGGAAATTTTAACTCAGCCAAGGGATTACAGGCTGTACACAGATTTAAAAATATAGCAATATTTAAGAGAATTTTGGAATTTTACTTCCAGTGAAATGAAGAGAGTTACAAACATTCTCATTGGAGAGTTCATGAGGGAGATTCACGCCTGTGCCTCCAGCCAGTCAGATGATGAAGATACATCCAGGCTACAGGAGTATATGCTACAGGGTCATGGTGGGGCTATACTGAGATTACTAATTGATACGGGTGTACAGGTAAGAATGTGATGTATTTTTATATTTTTTATTGATATTTTATATCTGTTACTTGATACATAAGTCAAAATAGCACTACAAACTACAACTACAACTATTCTAGCTACAAAAATACAAATAATTATACAGTGTGATGCACAATACTAAACATATTAATCCAAATTCTGAAACAATTCCAATGTGTAATTGAACAGTCTTCTGTCTAACTGAACTTCACCATATTGAATGACATACAGTAAAACCTGTCCGATGGAATACCTCTCTGTAGGGAAAACCTATGAACAAGGAACAAGGAACACTATTTTGGTGCAAATTATAAAAATTCACCTGTGAACAAGGAATATGGAATATTGGTGACACTGTATATTCCATTATTTTTCAGAGGTGTGAAAGTCTTAAGCCAATATCTGATTCTAAAAAGCTTGGATTAATATGATTGAGATGTAGATAAGCCAATTGTTTACAGGATGTAGTATCCCACCCACTGTTAATTACCCTGATATATTTTAAAACTAATACTAATCTATTTGTTACATTATCATGACACTAATTCTTCCTTTCGACAAACCTAATTACATCAAATCAGTTGTGATAATCTAGGGACTGACACAATTGTTTTTTCGAGATAACAGATAAGTACATGTGTCATATTGATCCAAATCTATCAATGATTACATCAACTAGACATCATCAGACACCAGCAGCAGCAGCCAAAATCAACATAGGGAGAACACCAATAGAGGGAGGTGGGAGACCTTCATACATCTTCCAAGATGTCAGAAAAAGGTCTAGCAACCAAGTATGGAGTCAACATTGGTACAATCAATCAAAGCCCATATGTATACAAATATGCTTATTCGGCAAGTTTGGGGAAAGTGTGGCCCCTCTCTATAGGGAAAACTTCTGAACAAGGAAACTTTCTTCAAGTCCCAAGAGCATTCCCTGTTCGCAGGTTTTACTGTATCATTATTCAGAGGGATGTAGGGAACGCCTCTGTCCGAATGTACATCCTTTCGTATATCCGTCAAGGCAATAACTCAAATACTGTTGGCCCGATTTTGTTCATATTTTGTACACGTATAACCTATGGGAGTAGATTTTCAAAATGGCTGCTTGTTCAAAATTTTAGAGGACACTAATAAAGCTAGAAATGTAGATATTTATAAATCACATGGCAGCCATCTTGACAAATGGCTGCCTTTACACGCTATTTTACGATTTTTGATGTATCCTGAAAAGTCGTGGAGCGATTTTGTTCATATTTGGTATGTGAATACTATAAGCATGGCACACTGTCTAATGACACTTTTGGTAGAAGGTAGCCATTTTGAAAAATGGCTGCCATTTTTATGTGTGTTATTTTTTCATTTTTTACTATAACACCCTGCTATATCATGACAGTTACGCCACCTCTGAAAGCGAGGTTGGACAGCTACGTTCACTGATTTATCCAATAAAATGGCCGCGATGGAACAGAAAACTAAGGTTGGTGCATTATTTTCTACTACTGTGTATCAATGAAATGATGAACGATTTATGTAAGCATCGCATTCGGTGATGCATTTAGTAATGTATATTTTGAACGTAGTCTGTAAACTGATGCCCGGGGATAACTATATATGGGATAACATGAAATAAGCGAAAAACTGTTGAGTTTGAAATTCAAAACTACACAAAATTTAGTAATTTGTTTATTTTTGTCATTAGGACATGGTCTGCATTGCCTAATGACCTCGGGGTATATAGATGTAACCTACATACGATCATAAAAAGCCAATTGAGCATTGGAACCCACCTATGTTCTTCTCAAGCCATAATAATATATTCTGAATTTGCTGTTACGCAAAAAATTGATGGATGATTACGCGAACTTCGTTCAAACATGTATCCCCGATTCATTGTTATTAATTTTGTCATATTCATCAGTACTTGATACTTGATATATTTTTCTTTGCCCTATAGAGGCTCATACAAGAGCGTTTCTTGCGAGTCCTGAAAACAAATATAAGCAATTCAATATTCCATTTCTTACTCATTATAACAATGACATGGAAAGAGGCTATCAGAACTAGCAACCTAGACTTGAAAGGTCTACATGCACGTAACCTTCCGTTACATATCTAAATGAATACAATACGCTACCGTCCATAGAATTCATACATAGTCGTCTGATGACATTGCGTTTGAAACCTTATTATTTATAATATACACCATGTTCCTGTTCTGGATTTGTCATTTTATGGCTTGTTTATACACAGTTTACTTACAGTTGATAGTTTGAGTGCCTCTGAGGCACATATACTGAGAAAACACGAGAATGGACTAAAAAGCATATTATATACTTTCTGATAGCTAGTGAGCAACCATTTTTGTGTGTTATTTTACGATTTTTGCTATATACTTCGTTTGTAAAAATGCAAACCATGGCTGTTCAATGGAATTTGCTATGCAATTTGCTGTTGTCTAGTTATAAAATACCAAACTGAATTGTTAATGCTGCAGTAAAAGTTGCAAAAGTGCTTCTGGGGGATTATCAAGTTGAAAACGCTCTTCTGTCCTCTAGATGACAATACATATTGACACTTTAAGGGCATCTTATGCAAATAGTCCTCTAGTTGACAATACATATTGACACTTTCAGGGCATCTTATGCAAATAGTCCTCTAGTTGACAATACATATTGACACTTTCAGGGCATCTTATTCAAATAGTCCTCTAGTTGACAATACATATTGACACTTTCAGGGCATCTTATGCAAATAGTCCTCTAGTTGACAATACATATTGACACTTTCAGGGCATCTTATGCAAATAGTCCTCTAGTTGACAATACATATTGACACTTTCAGGGCATCTTATGCAAATAGTCCTCTAGTTGACAATACATATTGACACTTTCAGGGCATCTTATGCAAATAGTCCTCTAGTTGACAATACATATTGACACTTATGCAAATAGTCCTCTAGTTGACAATACATATTGACAATTCAGGGCATCTTATGCAAATAGTCCTCTAGTTGACAATACATATTGACACTTTCAGAGCATCTTATGCAAATATTTTGTTTTCTCACTTAATATTGCACCGTCAAAGGGCTTAACATTGACAAATCATCTGATGTAAGAATGAATCTTTCAAAGTCATTTAATGTCAAGCCAAACATTGGTAATTGACATTATAATATAGACTTACAAGATTTATTAGATTGTTATGTTGTCGTACAGGGTGTCCAAAAAAACAGGACCGTAAGAAAGTTGAATAACTCAGTCAATTTTGCATATTTTGCCTTGAAATTTCAGAATTATTTAGTTCATTCAATGTGAATTTTGTTGTGAAAGTTTGATAATAATCTACCATTTGAGTCAAAAACTACAGCTCCTTACAAAACATGCCCCAAATGTGCAAATCTCATCCCTATGCACAATTCAGTCCGGCGAACAAAGCTGTTGATGATCCTCCTACACACATGTCTTTCTGAATGGACAAGTTTGTTCCATGAACAATTGCTACTGGGGCTTATATCCTCCTGATGAAGTGTTACAGCATCCATTGCATTCTGAACAATGCACTCCCTGGGTGGCAATGAGGAAACATGGAATCATCATTCCCTTTGGTTCGAAGGTGACTGGGGACTTGCTATCACCGTGAACAAGGACCAGTAAGTTCTCACCAAGTTCTGGAGGTCACTAAGCACCAGAAGGGACATCTAAGGAGATAATTAAGCAGTGGTTTCAACAAGCCAATACCACCCCAACACTGCAAATGATATGCTGAAATGGTTTAGGCAATGCTTTGGTGGTCAGCTCATCAGTTGCAGAACGCAAACCATATGGGCAGCTCATTCGCCTGATCTAAATCCCCCACCCCAAATTTTTATCTTTGTGGATTTCTCAAAGCCAATTTGTATACTGACAGGCCCCTAACAATCTTAAGAGGGCAATAACTACCCCAATATTTACCATCCACATTAATGTGTGTAGGTAAGGGTCATTAACAACTTTGTTCGCAGGATTTGTTTGTGCATAGAGAGGAGAAGTGCCTACTTTGAGCATGTTTTGTAAAGGACTGTAGTTTTTGACACAATAAACAGATTACCATCAAACTTTCAGAACAAAATTCACATTGAATGAACTAAAGAATTCTTAAATCAAGGCAAAATATGCAAAATTGACCAAGTTATTCAACTTTCTTACGGTCCTGTTTTTTTTGGACACCCTGTACATATTTGCAGCAGAATGCAAAACATTTTTATGAGATATGTTATCAGTTTGTACTGTTTCTCCTTATCTCTAACATAATAAAGACAATGAAGCTGAAGTCCTCCCTTTTTACAAAACTCACAGATTAAAATATGAAAACTGGAAATTGTTCACTGTCATTGAAAGGTTTTATCTCATATCCTGGAGGTCTTCCAACTCAGTATTACGCATGCCCATACTCTGAATTTTATAAACAAACAAAAGAAATGAAGTCAAATGAACCACTTTTGGACATTGACTTAGTTCTTTAAAATCAAACAAGATAAAAGAGTTCGAAGAAAAGACACTTCAGTTTGGGTTATTTATCATTAACGCTATCACTTTATGAAAGTATCACCTTATATTAGTTAACATGTACAAAATACATGTGCACTCAAAACTGTTGTTATTCCTGTCTATTTCCATAGGCAGAAAATGAATAACGTTAACATTTTACTTAGGCAGATAGACTTGAGTAGACAGGCTCACATAGGTCTCAAGGTTGTCCCTCAGTAAAAATCTCATTGGTATAAAACCCAATTGACCCTTTGCTAGCCAGAAAGGTTCATCTTTACACAGATTCATCTTTGCATTCTGTATTATTTCATCCTGTTTGGTAATATACAAGTTATTATAGTAATGGTGGCTGAGATGATATAGTAAAACTTAAAAGAGGTCAACTTTGAAATATTTGAGTATGGATGACAGGGAGAAAAAGGGAACTGAAAGAGATTGCCCACATTGTCACTTTATGCTTCTAATTTTACTGGTACAATCTGAACACCACTTGTCCCAGTCAAAACAGTTTGGATTTGGCAGGTGTTCATATTTGAAGGTCAAAGCAGATCAAATAAATCAATAAAAAGCATCTACAGGGTGGTAAAAAAAACGGCAACCCTAATTTTTTTTCTCATATCTTTGTCATTTTTGGAAATTTTGCCCTGATATTTGGCACACATGTACATAATTCAATTTCATACTAGACTGTGTTATTTCATGAACATTAGACTGATAGTCGCAATGTTACAGCACTTTAAACAAGGTGCCCTAGTTTTCCAATATTGTGCTGTAGGCAAACCTGCACATGTTTTCCAAACCTGTCAATGACATAACCGCATTCTTCAGCAAGTATGGCCATTATTGTGCATCATTTGGTGTATGGGGTATGGTTCTGTCTTGTTGGAACCGCTGTTGCTGCCTTTCAACCCCCCTGGGTTCACCTAAAGTCCCCAAGAACTCCATGGGAATCACAAAATAGAGTTTGATGTTAACAGTTATTGCATATCTGTTAGCATCATCAAAGGTAAAGGACCCTATCTTCTAAGAACACACTAAACTGTGTATCTGTCTGTGTGAGGGTGCCTCTCCACTACTTCATAAAGTGCTAGGCTGTCCAAGAATACATAATTGTTCAGAGTTTACCAGTGCGTCGAGTTGGAAATGGAGTTCATTTGGATAACAGACCAGCTCAGACAGCCTGAAAGTGGCCATCTGGGGTATGTTGCTTAAAATGCAGTAATATTGTGACTATCAGTCTGATGGTCATGAAATATGGTAGGTTGGTAGGAAATTGAATGATGTACAAATGTGTAAAATATCAGGGAGTTATTCCTTAGAATGACAAAGATATTAGGAAAAACTAGGGTTGCCGTTTTTTTTGACCACCCTTGTATATTGATAGGTGTTAGAAATAAGAAAGGTGTTATATATTCATGTTTTACTGCATTTATTATGTTATTTTTGATATATTTCAGGGTCTGTCATGTGGCTGTGACTTGGCTGATTTGTTGGCATCCCTTCTACATTGGTGTACCAACTTTCCCATCACTCAACCAACAGGTGATTGCAGATTTCATTCAAGATCTTTCAAAATTGATTTTGTCAGACATTTGTATTTGTCTCTTATAACTAAGAATACCTATAACATGTAAAATATTTGAAGATTATCAAAATTATTAAAGTCCCCGTCTAAAGTTTGAAAATATTTTTTTATCATTCATTCATTTGTCATGAGCTCATGTTATTTTAGAGATTTTTGAAAAAAATATTTTTTTTGAGAAAAAAGTTGTGAGCATTTCATTTCTCAAATATTCAAATTTCCCGCCATTTTTCAAAAATGATTTTAAATCATCAAATATTTCTTAATGCATTTCAAAAAAGATTATCTTTTTAATACCAATGCAAAGATTGAACAAAGGACACACTATTTCAATAATAAAATGCCATATTTAATGGGCCACTTCAATGTTTTAGCATATCAAAAATATTTTGAAACATTATTGATGTCACTAAGGTAGCAAAAACTTTTTGAAAACAATTGAAATTTTTTTTCGATGTCAATCTTTTCAAAATATGCTAGACTTTAATAATAAACCAATGTTGATTGTCTAACCAGATTAAAAGGAAGAATATATTATGTTTTAGATATCATTGTAAATTTTGAAATGCATTTTTCTCGGAACCATTTTCATGCACTGATAAGTTCATTTCTCGCTTATTTATGAACCGATTTTCTTAATTTTTTTCGGAAAAATCATTTGAGGATGAATGCTATGCATTGGTATGAATTGTGGCTAATTAAAAGATATTTGTGACCTTTAAAAGACAGTTTTAAATAAATTCACAAATTTTGGAACAAAAAGTCTATCAAAAACCACTTTTTGAAATTTAAAAAAAAAGTTTCACATATCACACTTTGATAACATTTTGTAAGACTACAATATAAGCCAAAGTGGTTTAAACCTTATATGGGGCCTTTAAGTTTGATTATTTCAGGTATAAAAAGTAATCTGGAACAATTATTCAATTTATTCTCTAGTATGAGGTTTTAATTTTGACTGTTTTATTTCAGAACTGAGTTTGGAAGATCTGCCAAACATCGGAAACTGCTTCTCTCATTTGAATAAATTACCCACAGGGCAACAAAACAGGAAGTTGTCTCGTCCTCATGGATATAGTGAATCAAACAAAGGCTCAAGAGTAAAGGTGATTAACACCAAGGGTGGGCAAGTGACCCAATATGCCAGTAGCTTGGACTCAGATAGTGATGATCCTGCTATGGAGCCCCCTACAGACCCCTTATTATCATCATCATCACTCCCACGTCCTTCAAGCCAGATATTTTTCCAGCGGCAGTTGAGTTCAGTTGATGAGGGAGAGGAACTATCAGAACCGGATAATGAGGACATTCAGAATGTTTCCCTCTCAACAAATGCCCTTTCTTTGTGTACTTTGATGACTAGATTGTTATCTGAACTGGTGAAATGCGATAGTCGCAGCCTCAGAGCATCCAACATGTCGGAAAGGCTCCTCCCTCAAATAGTGGAGCTGTATGTACGTTTGAATGAGCCAATGGATGTAAAATGTTACCCGCAAGGCTGGACAGATCAACATGTGCTAGTTCTGAAGCAATATCTCCTGAGGACAGTTTTCACAATGGCTGGCTGTGTTTGTACATTAAACAATGCAGTGAATACCCTAATGTCTTGTACTCCTGGTGGAATTATACAAACTTTGCTTATGATAGCCCAGAATGTTATTAAATCGCATGACTCCTTATTAGTCAGCTACAGTCAGGATATTATGCTGGGTACCTTGACAATTATCCAAACCTCGTTCTTATATCTCCCATGTAATCTCCAATGTTTCAGCGAGACTCTTAACCTCATTAAGGAGTTTGAGTTTCAGCATCGAGGGTACAATGTGTTCACTAGTGTAGTTCAGGCACTTGTTGATGAAATCAGGTTAGATGTTAAAAGTCAAGACTCACAAGTTAAGAAACGGAGAGTTACGTCACTGATTGAGAAAATAGGAGATATTATACTAGTAATGAAAAACATCAAAATGGAATACATACATTCAATGAAATGTTCAAAATCAAAACATCGGAAATGTGATTTTTCTGAATACAAAAACCATCACCATGATGCTCTTACAATCAAGAATGTTGTTGATGGTACATATTCAGATACATATGGTACAATTGATGCATTTGGATCCTTCAAGGAAAAATCTCTATTGAAACAGGACACAGAATGCGCTGTGAATGTTATTGTCAAATTCCTGTTTAACTTTTACTGTGCGATTGAGAATAAATGTATAAAACATCAGATTATACAGTGTATTCTCAAACATGGAATTTGCTGCTGTGTTCACCCGAATGATGTCATAGGAACTCTATTACACAGTATAGACACAAAGGATTCAAACTATCGAACTCAAGTTTTGTCCCTTGTGAGTAAACTCATACTTGAACAGTGTGGAGGCTCTGATATCTCATCACTCACATTCAAGCAATGTGCTGTCTGTAGCCACCATACAAGCCCTAATAATGGTTCCAACTACCAGAGCCATCTAGCAGATGCCTCGGATAGCGCGCTCTCCAGTTCAGAAAGTCTTTCAGAGAAACCAGACCTCACTGGTACCACCAAATGGAAATGTATAAAAGTACTTCAAAAGTATTTAACTCACAGAAAGGAGAGTTTAGGGATAGATGTCTCCTTGTTGTTGCTTCGACTTAGCATGAATGGTGGTGTTGAACTTAAAAAGCAGCTATTCCAGTCAGTTTACATGCCCACTTTGAAACTGGCCCACCAAACTTTATCCCCTAAGCCTGAGACACCTACAGAAGGAGGACCACTCCACCAGGCTGTTATTCAACATATCCTAGCAGGATTTCCTCCATTGTTAAAGGTTCTCAGTATCCAACAGGCATTCCTAGATATGGGAGGAGCTGAAATCCTCTCAGAGATGGTCAATCAATCTTCAATATCGCAAGCCATCTTGCATATACTGGAGGTTTTAGTGGTGGTAAGCGGATCAGATGCGGGAAAATCACATAACAGTATTCTGAACCCGAGAGTAAGCGATGACTCAGAAGAGATTGGTTTTCCTGATAGTCCATACGAGGATGATATATCGGACCAAGGGGGTACAGCATCCTCTCTAGTCATCTGTACAGTGCTTGATATCATCCTAGGATCACAATCACCTTGTACATCCCCTAATATCTGGAGGACATGTAAGCGCATTGCAAACATGAGTGAGGCATTTGTCAGCCAGTTCATACAAAAGCAGGGGTTTGATGTAGCATACAGATTGCTTGATGAAACCCTGAGGGCATATATTGATAGAGACTTAGTTGAAGATGAGACAGTAGTTGAACTGGGTACCAGTGATAAAACTATAGTTGGCAGTTCACATTCACAAGTTGACAATGTGCAGGTTGACAGTGTCCATCCTACTGCCCTACAACCAGACTGCGTACAGCTGTGTCTCTTGGAGTCTCTCTTAGGAGTGGTTCTGAGGTGTGCTGAGGCTCCAGTCCCGACTGGACTTCATGTAAGTTTCTATTTATTAATTTATTATTAATACATATCATCATTTTTGAATGTGAACAGACTGCACATCAGTCTGTCTAAAGTTGATCTCATTCTGCAGTTATATTGTTACTTCAGTAAAAGCTGAAATAATAGAAAGATTTTGTCAGTCTCTGTCCAGATCTCTCAAATGACATAATTAAAGGCACTTTTGATTGAGTTTTTAAAAATGGATTGTTGAAAATGAAAATTCTGATTGCGAAGAAGGAAAATTCTGAATTGTTGAAGTTATTACATTGAAGGTCATACATAATAGGACATGAATATATAGAATACATAATATAATATAACATATCGTCCCATTATTTCCACATTGTTATAACTCACTTTTGCAGGTTTTGAAATAAGTATACTATCTTCCTCAATTCTTCATGAGGAATTCATTTCTGAGGTTCATTTCAATGGATCTCCTCTCCTTTTGGAGATATCCAGTGCCACATTGTTATAAGTGCAAAACGAGATAAAAGATTTTAGGCCCACCTTTTCATATCCATTTTGGTAGGCAGCAGAGCCAATCAGATTGCATAATTTTGATCATGTGACTAATAGTTATAACAATGTGAAAATAATGGGATGATCACTTACTAGAATTAGAATAGTATTATTTGCAGGTAATTAACAAAGGAGATCATAAATCATGACAGATATAGGACAAACAAAAAGAAAGAAGATTTTTATTAGTTACAAAAATAAAAGCTCATTCAGTGAATTTAATTAATTACTGACCTGTTATACCCTTACAAGTCGAAATGGAACATGAGTCGTATTCTGTATAACTAGATGGGTAGAATAATAAGTTAAATCAGTTTTCAGGGTTATTTTAATATTTCAAAAACAGGAAACCTAAAACCAGATATTTTTTGTTAATCAGTGATCAGTTTTTAGAAATAACTACTCAAAACAAGTCCCCAATCATCAACCTCGGATTTCTTAATATCAGCTAAAATCCAATTGTAACAATGTGGATTTAATGGGAGGATATGTAGTACTGTAGTACATAATATGAATTGAACATATATAATACATAATACGATATGAACATATACAGTACATAATATGACATGAACATTCATGTACTATATAATTAAGAAATATGACATGAACACATATAATTTAGAAATATAGACCGAAGATCAGGTGTTATATCAACGAATACACCCCTCATGGCTAGACACAAATGTTTTCGAAATCTTTTGTGCCTAGCCGTATGTGCTGTATTCTTCAATATTACACCTGCTCTGAGGTCTATATTACGATTTGAAAACTCACCAAAATTGGTTTAATTGACCTTTTTCCATATAAATGGAAAATAGATGGTATCATGGGTATTGGTAGGACTAGTGTAGGGCTAGAATACATGTAAATGTATTGCTAGAGTCACTTAATTTCTTGATTTAAGAAGTGATTTCATTAGGATCAACTTCAAACACCATTGGAATGTAACCATATGATTTTATTGACATGTGGATTGTGATTTCATAGTAAAATTGTGATCCTTGTAGGAGTAAATGAACTTTTAAAGGCTTTTCAGCATTGTGTCAATGGAGATTTAGCCCGACCTTTTTTAGACAACTAGAAAATCATTAGAATTTGAATAAAGGTAATTAATGCTGCATATTAAAGTTGTTTTGATAGAAAATTACACACAGAATTCAAATATGTCATCAAATAGAAGAAAATGTAAGTCTTTAATGGTTAAAAATGCAGATCTTTTAAAATCTCATTAAAATGAGACTTTAACTACCACAGTAGTGTTGCGGAATATACCCGGGGAGAAATATTGACTTTGTTCACAGTTTATAGAAGGCGTGAATACAGTCAGTTGGAATACGTAATATGACATGAACATATATATTTTTTCCATAACATGATAGGTAGTAGAGAAGGCTGTTGTGTTCTCAAAACTAAGTGCTTACTTGGAGAGATTTAGGCACCAATCAAGCCATAATGCTAAACTGCTATGTGATTGTCTGTTGAGTTGTGCCGTAGCTTCAGACACTCCTTCATCCATGGTGAATTTTGGCTTCACTACATGTAGGAAGGTGAGTGAATCTTAGTTTAATGCTAGAGGCCATGTATATTTAAGTTACAATATGGAAAATTTGTCCTGCTATTAGTTACTGATTAAGGAGGGGGAAACTAACATGGGGTTTATGGAAACATGTGCAGTAGGCCTTAGGTAGATGTGCCCTATTCTCATTGGTCCATTAGCAGTATTAGCTGGAGTTAGTATCATCCAAGATGGAAGACAACGTTTGTTTGATATACTTGCTCCAGTTAGTATCATCCTGCTATATACCACTAATTCTACAGATCTTTGACGACATATTAATTCTGCTTAGGGTGAATTCGTTTTATCCCCATTAGTGAATCAATGAATACCTGATTAGTATTCGAATAGATTTTATTGCCTACTGCTGAGAAGATCAGTAGGCACAAACTGACTGGCGAGGATTGACTTTGACCCAATATTGGTTTAATGTTTACTCAAGAGGGTTATTCAGAATATCAATACATGTATACCATCCTGGACCTTGTTGCTTTAATAGTTTAATTCATGTCATTTTAAACTAACACCAACTGACAGCATGTTTGCTAAAATAGAGTGTATACAATACTGCTAGTTGAAATATCTTCTAGGGAATACACACTTAATTTGCAGGGTTCAGGCGATGAGGGAACAGACAGTACAAGGGAAATATCAAGTGAGAGTGAGAGTGAAGGCCATACATTTGAACATGGTTATGATGCTGACACTGAATGCACCAATTCTGATGATATCAACGGTAAGTGGCAAGTGAAATGACTATTTGTAATATTGTTTCTCTGCCAGAATTTGTTATTATCATAGGTATTATCATAGACTGTCAAAGGCCAGTTTTTCAAGCAATTTTCCTGCTATTTTCCAGATAATGAGTTTGACTTGTCCAAAGTTGGACCACCTTGCGTGAAGGCCCTCAGCCAACCTGAGATGTGTAGGATAACATTAGAACTTGTGGCTAATTGGACAGATAAGGGACTATATCCTGGAGTGGCAGTACACTGTTTGCGTCAGTTAGTCAGCATGTGTAAAGTGCCTGGAAATGCGAAAGTTTTGTTAGAACAGGTAAAGGACACTTGAATACCTTTGACAGATAGATTCATACTTTGAATATCTAATCAATGTTGAATTGTTTTGCACAATGGGAGCATATTCTCCTCTTTATCAATCACTTTGTTTGATTTCAGAAAATTGTAGATGTGATTCTTGGGCAGTTCAGGGGTGCCTTACTGACTGGCAGTGAGCAATATACAGCTGAGAAGCATTTACTACTTGAGCTCTTTGAAATACTTGTGGCTGAACAGATCAAATCTAAAGATGTATTTGCATATTTCCGGCTGTTTCATGAAAAGGATGCCCCCACAGTAAGTTCACATTTGACATTTTTACCCAAGTCCCTGAAAAATCTTTTCTCAAGATCTTAACATATTGATTCCACTGCAATTTTAATCTTTAACTTTATAAAAACAACTTTTTTCAAATTGTAATTTTTATTAAGATGCGTTTATGTTTGACTGTATCATATGCAAATAAAATAATTATGGAATATTTATTTTATCTTTGTGTGTAGGAGTGTCTACTACAGAGCCTGATCAATCTGATTGGCCAACAAAGGCGTGAACCCAAACACTACATCTCATTTCCTACTACACTGGCCCAAGTAGAACCTCCACAGGTCTCCAGTACCAGTCAGTTTAGTAGACCATCATTTCTAGACAGGTTCACCAATCAAAAGTCAAAGTTTAAGGTAAAAAAGGTTTCTCAGGTATATATTTTCTTCATATATCCTTTCACAAATTTGATAAGTTGACCTTGTATTATAAACTTTGACATTAAATAAATAAAAACCTACAATATTCAGTGACTGTTTTCTAATGCAGTCTAATTGGTTATGGTTATATGGTTTTGTACAATGTGAAATGTGTTTTGGTAAGAACAGGACACTATAAATAAACTTAAATCATAATTCTTTCTGCACGCAGCTATCCAACAGCTCTAGCACTGATGTGTTATCTCCACTGGTGTGTGCCCCTGTACAGTGTGATTTAGAGGGACAGTGCCACTGGCCCAAGACATGGGTTGGCTTCAGTGCTGCCCTCTGGCTCAATATTCAACCATCTAGAAAGGGGCACCATGACAGGACTCAGAAGAAGACTAACCCAGTTGCCTCTTGGTACAGGGAGTCTAGTGCAGATAGCTTAGGTAGGCGAAGGATTAACTCATATTAAAGCTATTTCTATTGCACTTTTAAAAAGTCTTATGTCGCTGTCGTCTTGTTCTGATTGGTGTGCTGGCAGACTGACGTGCATACCTGGAGGCGGGTGCTACATAAATCAAATCTTGTCATCAAAATTCCCAAAAAACATTTACCTGCTCAACTTGAAATCTTAAAGCTAAGTTCACACCAACGGCGCTTTGATGGCGCTTTAAAGCAGCTTGCAAAGCGACACCAAAGCGTAACAAAGCTTGATTAAAGCGCAAGTTCATAATAGGTCGTGGAAAAGCTCTGAGTAAAGCCGGACATTGGGCAAGAGCGGCAAAAAATTTTAAAATGTTTAAAAATTTTGGGCGCTCTGTTACAAATTGATATAAGCGCCAAGAGCGTATCAAAGCTTGACTCAAAGCGTAGGAAAGCTTAACAGAGCTTGGTTCAAAGCAGGGACCCCAGTCTCGTCACGGTCTGTTACCACTTGACACGCTTCGTTAAGATGGCATGAAGTTCTGACACGAGGTCAGACTGCTTTCATCAATATCTGACACTCTTTGTTACGCTTTCATGAAGGACTCTCAAGCTTTCCAACGAATTGAGACGCTTTGATCAAGGATTGCTTCCTTACGCTCTCCCATGCTCTTTCACGCAGGGCGACAAACATCTTCTTCAGATAGATCATGCTCTGGTCCATCTTAAACTTCTGGATCTTGTTGTTCTGCCATCATTTTCTGGAGTCAAAGATGTAGTGATCTCCTGCATCTTTATATAGTCATTGGATCAAAAGCGTAATGAAATCGGTGATCCCGACATTTTCCAATGCGTGACAGAGCTCCACAGAGCGTAACAATGCACAACAGAGCTTGATAATCATACCAAAGCCTGATTTAAAGCGTCATTATCGCATCAAAACGTAATAAAGCTTATCAAAGCGTGATTTCAAGCGTAACAAAGCCTGATCAAAGCGTGAGGAACCATAACAAGTCGGGAAATCAGAGCGTATCAGAGCTTATAAGAGCATAACATTAGTTATTAGGAGATTGTGATATTTTTGGAGAAGTACACAAAAATGACGGCGCTTTGCTTGCCAATTTAAAGCGTTGCATTCGCCGTTGGTGTGAACTAGGTGTTACAGATTCAAGAGCTGACTAGTGCCAAGATCTGATTAGGTTTAGGCATGCTGGGTAATTTACTTGGCAGCCATTTTGAATTTTTCCATAGATAAATTACATGGTGGTCATTATCCCACTGAACTAAATTCGTGGGGGATATAGGAAAGCTGTCAAACACAGAACAAAGTGGTTTGATATGGCACATTGGTAAGGTATAGCACATGGCTCAGAATAAAGTAAGTACCAAATAAGAAGAACAAAGAGTTAAAGAATAAAGATATTCCCAAGCTATCAATACAAGCAGTAACCGAAAGACGTCCAATTAAATACCGGATATGACAAATAAATATAATCAATTATAATCTACCTACTTGATGTAGATATCCAAATGTTGGTCTGGATTTATCTTTGTGGAAAGATTGTATCCTTCAGCTGCTCTTTAACAAAACATGTGGGACAGTGTATCTATATATTACAAGACGTCTGTCCAAAGGCAGATTCAATGACCACAGAAGCAGAATCAAAGTAAATAACAAAGGATCAAGTTGTATGATCTTCGCTAACCACTTTAATGAGGGAAACTGTAAAGACATTAACTATAAAGTACAAATTATAAAACAAGTGACTGCTATCAACAACCAAAACAAAGAAAGAGAAAGAAGACGAGAAGATAGAGAAACATACTGGATAAAAGAACTACAATGTGTTTATCCATATGGACTCAATAACAGATTAGAGAAAAATATTGATCAGAGGAAGGAAGAAGATCTAATATACAAAGACTTCAATCACAAAAGAAGAAGAAGAAATCGGAGACCCAAAGGAAAGTATAAAATACCAAATAATCTCAAGGCAATAAATGTATATAATATCATAAAAGAAAAGGCGAATAACAGCATTCAGGAAGGAATAAAGGAAACTTTGAAAACTATTCCACAGATGAAAAAAGCTTAAGTGGGAAAAATAGGTATGATAAACATAGAAAATGAAGAAACTCTCGCAGTAAGATTACAAAGAATACTTGATGACAGAATTCAAACAAAATAATTAGGAAAAAAAATAAAATGAAGAAAACAGAAAAAACTGAAGAGGAAAAGTAATAGGGAGAAAGAAGATCAAGAAAGAAGAAACTAAAGAGGACAAGAAAATAACAACAACAGAAACAAAGAAGAAACCAAGAAGACAAAGAGTGAAAGAAAAAGACAAATAAAATCAGAAGAAGTAAGAAGAAAACAACAGCAACTACAAATAGATTTTCAAGCCCCCATGGTGTTATATATCAAAATGTACCTGTTCATATAGGGGTTTGATTGATCTACATCAAATTATAGGGAGTCAGGCTACTTTTTGAGATATCAGCATCGATTTATTGTAACTCACGTTTGCTACCATTTGCTCAATTCTTAGATGACGGGCACACGCGTAGTAAACATGCTCACGCTGGAACTATTTTGATCTACATCGCTATTTCCATAATTGAAATGAAAGTTGAACTCCTCATCTTTATTTTGATACCAAATAATGGCATACTAGGTACTCTATATAGGGGTCATATCTTTTGACGGATGGATATAGAACCTCACACCCTAGTGACAAAGGAGTTATGCTGAAGAAGACAAAATGGCTGCTAAATATTAAAATGGCGGCCATTTTTCGTAAAACAACCTAATCTTTGATAACTCAAATAACAGTGAATAGATTTGGTTCAAATTTTATAAGATGATGGCTAGGGACAAAGAAGATTGTCCAAGAAAGAATTTTCAAGATGGCAGCTGGATTTCAGTGACCTTTGAAAGGTCAAAAAATTGATTTTTTACATTGATTGTTTTAATTTAGGTCAGCTTAATAACCTAGTGAGGTCTGAAAAGTGAAATTTTCAAAGTTGAATGTCAACGTTATCAAACTACAGGGTGATCCAGAAGTAACGTCAAAGATGTTGTAATTTCAAAAGTATTCATCAGATCTTCATGAAATTTGGTATACATGTACCCACAACATTTCTGAGTTACCATCTCAAAGATTGGAATTCAATCATTTCATTGGTTGAAATTATGGTTGCTATAGTAACCCGATATCGCGTAACCCGGGGCAAATTACTTAACGTGTAATGCGTAATCTCAAAATATCAACAAGATCTGAAATTGTTATATCCTCAACATTTTATTTCACAACAATATAAATCATACTAGTGCACAGTTACTAATAATAGTTCATTCTACATAATTGCCACCATTTGCAACACATTTCTCATGTCTGGATACCCATTCCTTGAACACAGAATTAAATCCATTAGAACTCATTCCTTGTAGGGCTAGTACTACGGCATTTTTCAATTCCTCACAGGATTGAAAATTATTTCCACTAAGGTTTCTTTTTAGTTCCCCATACAAATAAAAGTCACTGGGGGCAAGATCAGGTGAATAAGGGGCATGTTCAAGTTGTTGAAATCCAAGTGTTTGGACTGTGTTGCTGGTCAGGATTGCAGTGTGCGTAGGGGCATTGTCCCAATGCAAGATAAACTGCTGCAGATGTCCGGGACGCTTTTTCCTCAGGGAACGTTGAAGATCACGCTTCAGAACCTGAAAAACAAATGTTTAATGGTTGTTAAACCAGTTGTTTCATTGATTGGATTTGGATTTGAATCATGGCCATGGAGTTATAATTATATTGACAGTGAACAACATTTAAATACTTTAATTTAAAAATAAAATTCACAGTATGATGTATTATTAGAACAAATGATATCTTACCTTTGCAATGTAAACGGCATTAATTCTCTGGCCAATGGGAACAAAATGGGTTAACACCATTCCTCTAATGTCAAAGAATGTCACAACCATTTGTTTCTTTTGTGGAATTCCTGGTACTATTTTAGGCTTGGTTGGTGTTGGGGAGTTGTCATGTTTCCACGATGAACTTTGTTGCGTGGTCTCTGGGATGTAGAATGATAGCAATGATTCGTCACTCGTAATGATCTTGTTAAGAAAGTCATCTCCATCTCTCCGATATTTTGCAAGAAAGTCCCTTGAAGCCTTAACACGCCGGTCTTTCTGCTCCTGTGTCAAGTCATGCGGCACCCATTTAGCAGACACCTTCTTTAACAGACAGTTCTTTGTCAGTATCCGTTGCACAGTCCCATAGCTCAGATCGTGTTTTTCAGCCAATTCTCTGATAGAAATTTGCCTATTGTCCATAACATCAGCTTCAATTGCTTTGATGGTTTGATCATCGAATGACGACACTGGCCTGCCTCCTCGCTGCTTGTCTACCACTTCATCATATCCACTGGAATACTTGTTAAACCACCTGTAAATGTTTCTCTCAGCAATGGCAGCTTTACCATATGCCTTCTTTATCGGTCTTATAGTCTCTTTTACACCTTTCCCCAACTTTACACAGAACTTAATGTTTGTTCTTTGCTCTATTTTACTCTGACTTGGCGCCATCTTGAATTGGGTGGGTTAGTGTCCTTGGTCATGTTAGTATTTGTCATGGATGATGGAAACAATTCAAAGAAATTGAAAGCTTTTTATGAATGCCTATTGTGACATCACAACTATTACATATTTGTTACCATGGCAACAAATATAAAAATCATAGAAAACAAACAATGAACATTTTCAAATGTTACTGACTTTTTAAATTAGAGAAATTCACAAAAACTTTATGGTTTCTCTTCAATTTGCCCCGGGTTACGCGATATCGGGTTACTATAGCAACCATAATTTCAACCAATGAAATGATTGAATTCCAATCTTTGAGATGGTAACTCAGAAATGTTGTGGGTACATGTATACCAAATTTCATGAAGATCTGATGAATACTTTTGAAATTACAATGTCTTTGACGTTACTTCTGGATCACCCTGTAGGTACCAAATGATGTTGTCTAAATTAATTCTTGTCATCAAAACTGCAGAAAAAAGCTAACCTGTTCAACTTGAATTTTTTTAACATGCAAGAACAGTCTAGTGCCAAAAGCTGATTAGGTTTTGGGCATGCTGGGTAAATTAATTGCTGACGATTTTGCTCTTGAAAATGTGATATTCAACACTGGGTGTCCTGTGAATTTGGATGTGCATGTGTAATATTCTGCATATTTTAATCAACTGCTGTAGTCCAAGTTATCAATCCCCAACTCTCAATGTTTATAGACGTTGCTGATCTTGTACCAAAGACATTGAAGTTAAGCCTACTAAGAGAGCCTCTTGTGCCCAAGTATTGGAACTCTGATTGTCAGCATGTTCTATCTGTGGGCTCTCCAGAGAAGATGTTCCAACTGTGGGTCGACCCAGATGACCTTAAACTAACAATAAGGTACTTCTGTCTATATATTTTAACTCAGGAATTCTCAAAACTATATTAAAAATACACATTATATGACGAAACCAATTCAACGCATTGTTATGGTGATGATTTAAAATCAAGATTTTCATTCAAATTATTGAGTCATAGTAGTAAATTGCATTTACAGGATGTCAAGCAGTTTGTTTGAGACAGATGATGTGCTCTGTGAGACATCTGTTAGTGGACTGTTGAAGGAGAATAGCTGGCATCACCTTACCATAAGTCATTCAGAGAGCATCGTTGCAGGCAGGGTACTTGCTAAGGTTAGTTATTTTGGTCTTACCAAGGCCATTCAGAGAGAATTCTCCTCGAGAAGGAATTTTCAAGATGGCAGATGAATTTCAAAATAGCAACCATTTTCCATAAAAGAATGGAATCTTTGATAATACAAAAATATCATTTGATGGATTTCCTTCAATAGAACCGTTGCAGATTCTATTTCTGCCTCTCCATGAAAAAATATGAATGGAGCAGTTATAAGGTCAATATTCAGCCTTGAAGTGTACTAGCATACATGCTAAATCAGGTAGTCTTTTTTGTCTATCAAAACCCCTACTTCTTAATCAAATATATGATGAAGTATAATAGTATAATATTTGGATTAAAAAGTTGTATAACATTCTATAAGTGCATTGAGCATTTTTCTATATCCATTGCGGAACAAAAAATATGACAAAAAATGATAATCTTTCAATTCAAAGTATGATATGAAGCAATCTCAAACTTAATATTTTCTGTGATATTCCATTTGTGTCAAATTTAATATGCCGATTTCTTGGAACAAAGGAGCTCTCCTCAAGAATAAATTTGGAGAATACTGCTAGGATTTGCTGGTCTGTGCAGAGTTGCTGTTTTCTAGTTTATCCATAATTATCAAAAAAAGGGAGGCGGCATGGCATTGGTATATTCTTGCATTAATGTGTTTTGAAGAAACTGTAGTATGTTTTCTCTGCAGACCAACATCACAATTGATGGATGTTTCTCAAGGCAGCTCCACATGGATCATGAAATCCTGCCTGCTTTAAGAGGCACAGTGGATTCTAAGCTGTTTGTTGGCCACAGTACAACCAAACACTCCCATGCTGAACTTCAACAGTGCAAACTCCACATAGGCAATGTTATGCTCTTTAAAGGTAAGATTTGGCAATGTTATGCTCTTTAAAGGTTGGATTGGGCAATGTTATGCTCTTTAAAGGTTGGATTGGGCAATGTTATGCTCTTTAAAGGTTAGATTGGGCAATGTCATGCTCTTTAAAGGTAGGATTGGGCAATGTCATGCTCTTTAAAGGTAAGATTGGGCAATGTTATGCTCTTTAAAGGTAGGATTGGGCAATGTCATGCTCTTTAAAGGTTGGATTGGGCAATGTTATGCTCTTTAAAGGTAAGATTGGGCAATGTTATGCTCTTTAAAGGTTGGATTGGGCAATGTCATGCTCTTTAAAGGTTGGATTGGGCAATGTTATGCTCTTTAAAGGTTGGATTGGGCAATGTTATGCTCTTTAAAGGTTGGATTGGGCAATGTTATGCTCTTTAAAGGTTGGATTGGGCAATGTTATGCTCTTTAAAGGTAGGTTTGGGCAATGTCATGCTCTTTAAAGGTAAGATTGGGCAATGTTATGCTCTTTAAAGGTTGGATTGGGCAATGTTATGCTCTTTAAAGGTAGGATTGGGCAATGTCATGCTCTTTAAAGGTAGGATTGGGCAATGCCATGCTCTTTAAAGGTAGGATTGGGCAATGTTATGCTCTTTAAAGGTAGGATTGGACAATGTTATGCTCTTAAAAGGTAGGATTGGGCAATGTTTTGCTCTATAAAGCTTAAGGTAGCATTGGGGAGCTGTCATAAATTTGAATTTTAAACAAGTGTTCCTCTGTAATATGTTCTGCATAAGTAACACTATATGGTGGATTAATAATAATAGGACGCTAACCTTCATCTCTGTAAATATCAAAGCTGGAAGCAATTGCTCATCTCATGAATGAATATCGCAAATATAAGTAGTTTATGAAAAGGGCAGTTTAACTTGAATGCATTGCAGAGTGTGTCATCACTAAGGAGTTAAGTATGAAGCTCTACAGTTTGGGACCTGACTGCACATGTATCAGTCACTGTGACTCATCAAGGCTGAACTCCAACCATGCATACCTGGTCACCAAACATTGGATTACTCACTCTGGTTTGAGCCTTGATGTACTTTGTGGAGTAGATGAGGTCAGCCTGGCCCCTTTACAGGTATCATTCAACATAATTTCTGCTTCTACAATAGCACCTGGCTTGTCTGTGGTACATGGTATCTATAGTACATGTTTATTGTACAATGTACATGTGTCTTGTTTGTTGTAGATATTGTACATGGCTTGTCTAATTAGTACATGTGACATCTCTATAGTACATAACATGTTTACAGGACATGTGGATGAATTCAGATTGATTCAGTGATTGTCATCTAGTAGAATGCCCAAGGAAAAATTGATAACAGACAGATTGAATAATTTCTGAAATATAAAGTTCATAAAAACTATAAACCCCATGGATTCAATATTGCACTGTCTATAGAATGTATACTTGATTCTAGGAGAACATCTTACTGATGTACAGTCCCTCTATGCAGACCTCTTTCAACCTCTATAGCCCATTATCTGAAGTGAGAAGCCCAGTGGGTCTATCTAGGGTACTCTCCGGGAAGAAACTTGAGTTTAACCCCCTCGCACAGCAGCCTGTTCTTGTCAAGGCTCATCTTCTGACCCCCCTGGTAGCTTGCGTTTCAACACATATCACTACTGCAGTCAATGCTATAGGTGGCGTCACTAGTCTCCTGTTCCTGTTTGCTAAGGTGAGTTCCCCTAAAATCACAGGGCATGTTTTGAACTATTGCGACTTAAGATTCACAGAAGTATTTTGTGGAAGATTTAGAAAAATCAAGTAATTCGATCCATAAATACAAAATTAAATGGTAAAATGCAGATGCAGACAAATTACCAACATAAAATGCTAGGCTATACCACTCTTATTAGCAGGTTTTGAATTTCCCAATTAGCATTGATTTACACATGTATGTTGTCTTTAGGTGGTAGAGCAAAATAGGAGTGAGAGAGAACAAGCCAAAACTCTACAGCTTTTGTTCATGATGCTACGACAAAACACTCAATACGGTCAACAATTCACAGACATGTCAGGTTATGTCTTGGTTGCCAAAGTTCTGCAGACTTCATCCTGTGTAGTTGGCTTCCGACTCTTGAAGGTAAGCCAAATCCTGGTCATGTTTAAAAGTGCAAAGTAGAGTCAAATTTAGAGGAACCAGCAAGGAATAAAGTAAACAGGCATGCAGTGTACACTCTAAATTGTATAGAAATGCAAGAAAACCAAAAACTTCGTACATATTAGAAAAATCAGAGGAATCGACAAAGAATAAGTAAATGGGCATACAGTTGACACGGTAAATTGTTTATAGAAATACAAGACAATCAAATACTTCATTGAAATGTTAGAGAGAAATAGAGTGGAATATGCATGAGCAGACATGTTCTGTATAGTTTGTACCAATTAAACAACTAATTTAATTATTTATGCCAGAATTGTGTTTGTTTGCTTTTATATTTTTTCACTACTCACTACTTTACTTTGTTCAGTGCATACAAACATTAATCATTCCCGGGGTGTAATAAAACATGAGTTTGAAAAGACATGCTCCAGCAACTATCTTGGACACGTATTACAAGTGAGTAGTGAGTTTGAGTTGCACCACTGAGCTAACACTCTAAATTATGGAAATGCAAGAAAATCAGTAGGATTACTTCAACATCTGTTGCTATGCTTTCTAGGTGTTGTTAGATACCAGTTGTTACTAGGGAGTGGTAAAGTATGACAGCATACAGAACAAATGATGCCTGAAGAACAACCATGCTATAATACATGACAATAACATCTGTTGCTATGTATTCCAGGTGTTGTTAGATGCAAGTTGTAACCAGGAAGTGATGAAGTATGACAGCATTCAGAACAAATGGTGCCTGAAGAACAACCATGCTATAATACATGACACTAACATCTGTTGCTATGTATTCCAGGTGTTGTTAGATGCAAGTTTTAACCAGGAAGTGATGAAGTATGACAGCATACAGAACAAATGATGCCTGAAGAACAACCATGCTATAATACATGACACTAACATCTGTTGCTATGTATTCCAGGTGTTGTTAGATGCAAGTTGTAACCAGGAAGTGATGAAGTATGACAGCATTCAGAACAAATGGTGCCTGAAGAACAACCATGCTATAATACATGACACTAACATCTGTTGCTATGTATTCCAGGTGTTGTTAGATGCAAGTTGTAACCAGGAAGTGATGAAGTATGACAGCATTCAGAACAAATGGTGCCTGAAGAACAACCATGCTATAATACATGACACTAACATCTGTTGCTATGTATTCCAGGTGTTGTTAGATGCAAGTTTTAACCAGGAAGTGATGAAGTATGACAGCATTCAAAACAAATGGTGCCTGAAAAACAACCATGCTATAATACATGACACTAACATCTGTTGCTATGTATTCCAGGAGTTGTTAGATGCAAGTTGTAACCAGGAAGTGATGAAGTATGACAGGATACAGAACAAATGGTGCCTGAAAAACAACCATGCTATAATACATGACAATAACATCTGTTGCTATGTATTCCAGGAGTTGTTAGATGCAAGTTGTAACCAGGAAGTGATGAAGTATGACAGCATACAGAACAAATGGTGCCTGAAAAACAACCATGCTATAATACATGACACTAACATCTGTTGCTATGTATTCCAGGTGTTGTTAGGTGCAAGTTGTAACCAGGAAGTGATGAAGTATGACAGCATACAGAACAAATGGTGCCTGAAAAACAACCATGCTATAATACATGACACTAACATCTGTTGCTATGTATTCCAGGTGTTGTTAGATGCAAGTTGTAACCAGGAAGTGATGAAGTATGACAGCATACAGAACAAATGGTGCCTGAAAAACAACCATGCTATAATACATGACACTAACATCTGTTGCTATGTATTCCAGGTGTTGTTAGATGGAAGTTGTAACCAGGAAGTGATGAAGTATGACAGCATACAGAACAAATGGTGCCTGAAGAACAACCATGCTATAATACATGACACTAACATCTGTTGCTATGTATTCCAGGGGTGTGTTGTTAGATGCAAGTTGTAACCAGGAAGTGATGAAGTATGACAGGATACAGAACAAATGATGCCTGAAGAACAACCATGCTATAATACATGACACTAACATCTGTTGCTATGTATTCCAGGTGTTGTTAGATGCAAGTTGTAACCAGGAAGTGATGAAGTATGACAGCATTCAAAACAAATGGTGCCTGAAAAACAACCATGCTATAATACATGACACTAACATCTGTTGCTATGTATTCCAGGTGTTGTTAGATGCAAGTTTTAACCAGGAAGTGATGAAGTATGACAGCATTCAGAACAAATGGTGCCTGAAGAACAACCATGCTATAATACATGACACTAACATCTGTTGCTATGTATTCCAGGTGTTGTTAGATGCAAGTTGTAACCAGGAAGTGATGAAGTATGACAGTATACAGAACAAATGGTGCCTGAAAAACAACCATGCTATAATACATGACAATAACATCTGTTGCTATGTATTCCAGGTGTTGTTAGATGCAAGTTGTAACCAGGAAGTGATGAAGTATGACAGGATACAGAACAAATGGTGCCTGAAGAACAACCATGCTATAATACATGACACTAACCTCTGTTGCTATGTATTCCAGGTGTTGTTAGATGCAAGTTGTAACCAGGAAGTGATGAAGTATGACAGGATACAGAACAAATGGTGCCTGAAGAACAACCATGCTATAATACATGACACTAACCTCTGTTGCTATGTATTCCAGGTGTTGTTAGATGCAAGTTGTAACCAGGAAGTGATGAAGTATGACAGCATACAGAACAAATGGTGCCTGAAAAACAACCATGCTATAATACATGACACTAACATCTGTTGCTATGTATTCCAGGTGTTGTTAGATGCAAGTTGTAACCAGGAAGTGATGAAGTATGACAGGATACAGAACAAATGGTGCCTGAAAAACAACCATGCTATAATACATGACAATAACATCTGTTGCTATGTATTCCAGGTGTTGTTAGATGCAAGTTGTAACCAGGAAGTGATGAAGTATGACAGCATACAGAACAAATGGTGTCTGAAAAACAACCATGCTATAATACATGACACTAACATCTGTTGCTATGTATTCCAGGTGTTGTTAGGTGCAAGTTGTAACCAGGAAGTGATGAAGTATGACAGCATACAGAACAAATGGTGCCTGAAAAACAACCATGCTATAATACATGACACTAACATCTGTTGCTATGTATTCCAGGTGTTGTTAGATTCAAGTTGTAACCAGGAAGTGATGAAGTATGACAGCATTCAGAACAAATGGTGCCTGAAAAACAACCATGCTATAATACATGACACTAACATCTGTTGCTATGTATTCCAGGTGTTGTTAGATGCAAGTTGTAACCAGGAAGTGATGAAGTATGACAGGATACAGAACAAATGGTGTCTGAAAAACAACCATGCTATAATACATGACACTAACATCTGTTGCTATGTATTCCAGGTGTTGTTAGGTGCAAGTTGTAACCAGGAAGTGATGAAGTATGACAGCATACAGAACAAATGGTGCCTGAAAAACAACCATGCTATAATACATGACACTAACATCTGTTGCTATGTATTCCAGGTGTTGTTAGATTCAAGTTGTAACCAGGAAGTGATGAAGTATGACAGGATACAGAACAAATGGTGCCTGAAAAACAACCATGCTATAATACATGACAATAACATCTGTTGCTATGTATTCCAGGTGTTGTTAGATGCAAGTTGTAACCAGGAAGTGATGAAGTATGACAGCATACAGAACAAATGGTGTCTGAAAAACAACCATGCTATAATCAGTGTTTTCAGTAGGCTTGTCCAAAATTGCGTCCCTTGGACGTAATGATTTTCAAAAAATGCGTCTCCCTTCAAAAAACTGCGTCCCTTGAAAAAATGTTCCCGGGAATTCAAAAGTCACGTTTTTACACTGGATGAAATAAATTGATGAAATTTTGTACCACTGCTTTTGCTATTTATCGGTCTGAATCAGCGTTCTTGCAAGTCTAGTATGTCATTGAATGATACAGATACCATCATAACTTATATTCTCCCATTTAAAACACCTTTTCCTTGCGAATTTCGAAACAATTTGCTATTGATTTTGCTTTAGCATGTTTAGTTTAGGGGCAATCTGCGCGAGGTTCAACTTTTTAGTTCAGTTTCTTGCGCATATGCAGTCTCAAATAATGATCACGTGATCACACTTGACCAATTGAAAATGGTTTGAATCAGGTCTTAAGCTACCGGCCAATCGTAGGACTCATACTGATTACTGCTCGGAAATCGAGTATTGTATAAATTTTTGTCCTATCACATGCCTCGTACTATTTCGATCAGAAATCAACTTCCGGGAAGGAAATTTCGAAAGAAAATTTTATTTCTTTTAGAAATAGAATTTTCTTCAATTATTTATTGGATTCTGACGAAATAAAGAGACTGAAGGTAAGATCTTTATCAAATCATTCATCCAAAGTTGATTGTATGAGTATGGCTTGCACTGCGTCCACAAAACGCAATCACTTTTTATTTCCGGGTCCATGGATTTTTCATTACGTTTTTGCAATACTTGGACGGCGTTATTGAAATAGCAGTATAATACATGACACTAACATCTGTTGCTATGTATTCCAGGTGTTGTTAGGTGCAAGTTGTAACCAGGAAGTGATTAAGTATGACAGCATTCAAAACAAATGGTGCCTGAAAAACAACCATGCTATAATACATGACACTAACATCTGTTGCTATGTATTCCAGGAGTTGTTAGATGCAAGTTGTAACCAGGAAGTGATGAAGTATGACAGCATACAGAACAAATGGTGCCTGAAAAACAACCATGCTATAATACATGACACTAACATCTGTTGCTATGTATTCCAGGTGTTGTTAGATGCAAGTTGTAACCAGGAAGTGATGAAGTATGACAGGATACAGAACAAATGGTGCCTGAAAAACAACCATGCTATAATACATGACAATAACATCTGTTGCTATGTATTCCAGGAGTTGTTAGATGCAAGTTGTAACCAGGAAGTGATGAAGTATGACAGGATACAGAACAAATGGTGCCTGAAAAACAACCATGCTATAATACATGACAATAACATCTGTTGCTATGTATTCCAGGAGTTGTTAGATGCAAGTTGTAACCAGGAAGTGATGAAGTATGACAGCATACAGAACAAATGGTGCCTGAAAAACAACCATGCTATAATACATGACACTAACATCTGTTGCTATGTATTCCAGGTGTTGTTAGGTGCAAGTTGTAACCAGGAAGTGATGAAGTATGACAGCATACAGAACAAATGGTGCCTGAAAAACAACCATGCTATAATACATGACACTAACATCTGTTGCTATGTATTCCAGGTGTTGTTAGATGCAAGTTGTAACCAGGAAGTGATGAAGTATGACAGCATACAGAACAAATGGTGCCTGAAAAACAACCATGCTATAATACATGACAATAACATCTGTTGCTATGTATTCCAGGAGTTGTTAGATGCAAGTTGTAACCAGGAAGTGATGAAGTATGACAGCATACAGAACAAATGGTGCCTGAAAAACAACCATGCTATAATACATGACACTAACATCTGTTGCTATGTATTCCAGGTGTTGTTAGATGCAAGTTGTAACCAGGAAGTGATGAAGTATGACAGGATACAGAACAAATGGTGCCTGAAAAACAACCATGCTATAATACATGACACTAACATCTGTTGCTATGTATTCCAGGTGTTGTTAGATGCAAGTTGTAACCAGGAAGTGATGAAGTATGACAGCATACATAACAAATGGTGCCTGAAAAACAACCATGCTATAATACATGACACTAACATCTGTTGCTATGTATTCCAGGTGTTGTTAGATGCAAGTTGTAACCAGGAAGTGATGAAGTATGACAGCATACAGAACAAATGGTGCCTGAAAAACAACCATGCTATAATACATGACAATAACATCTGTTGCTATGTATTCCAGGAGTTGTTAGATGCAAGTTGTAACCAGGAAGTGATGAAGTATGACAGCATACAGAACAAATGGTGCCTGAAAAACAACCATGCTATAATACATGACAATAACATCTGTTGCTATGTATTCCAGGAGTTGTTAGATGCAAGTTGTAACCAGGAAGTGATGAAGTATGACAGCATTCAGAACAAATGGTGCCTGAAAAACAACCATGCTATAATACATGACACTAACATCTGTTGCTATGTATTCCAGGTGTTGTTAGATGCAAGTTGTAACCAGGAAGTGATGAAGTATGACAGGATACAGAACAAATGGTGCCTGAAAAACAACCATGCTATAATACATGACACTAACCTCTGTTGCTATGTATTCCAGGTGTTGTTAGATGCAAGTTGTAACCAGGAAGTGATGAAGTATGACAGCATACAGAACAAATGGTGCCTGAAGAACAACCATGCTATAATACATGACACTAACATCATCAAGCATCTCATCTTAGCCTGGAAGGTTAGCAGCCATATATGTTTTCGTTATCAAGTTGGACTCCAACATTGTTTATCCATTTCACTACTTGCCACAATCAATCTTACTGTCAGCATATCAACCCAGCCCCGTCCATCAAACTTAGTCAAACTATCGTTCAAAAATCAGGTTGTCATGTTTACCAAAGCTTTATAGTTACTATGGCAACAGTGAAAATAGGAATAAAAATGAGTACAAAAACACCCAAACCTACCATAATAGCACTAGTTTTTTAGATAGGCATACATCTTTTCTTAAGCTTTAATATTGTCTAGAACACTCATATACAACAAAAAATGGGGTAAATTTACCACTTGGATTTCTTTCTAGGCATGGTCAAAGTAAAACTCATTTTCACTATAGAATTACCTATTATCGTCCAAAGGGCTTTATTTATTCAACCTCATGGTTTCTATGTTAAACATAGAATAACAGAGCTTCAGGCAATGATTGAAAGGTATTTACCATGGAACAAATATCTTTGCACTGGAACACCCCTCTTCAAGAAATAACACATGTAAAAGGGGAACTATGTCTATAAATGTCATCAAAACTTTGTGTCAAAATGTAAAAAGGCCATTTCTGCACTACTTTTGGTGTAATAATTTCATTACTTCTAAACCCATAAATAACACTCTGTTACCTTATTATTATGTTGTGTTAAATATTGGATGGATAAACTATTGGTCAGTAAGGCTTTGTACATAAAAACTGAATCACAGTTTGATTACGGTAATTCTGATTGTGTGGGCCATAGTTAACCTGAACTTGGTCAGGCCCAATTTGAGGATTAATCACATCCACCATGTTAATATAATATTATGAAACGTCATCTGAACCAAACCAAGAGAAAAGAATCATAGTCCAATACTAACCCAATAGTAATGGACCCTACCTGGTATAATATTATATAAACTTTACATTGAAGCATCACCATTATTTATACAAATTCTATTTTCTTTAGGTCTGGCAGAGATCCGAACATGTTATATGGCAAATGTCATTCCAAGCCCTTGAGAATCTAACACACGAGGAGAACCCTTATAGAGAGTTCAACATTAAGAAACTACAGTTTGCTGATATAGTTGCTGATCTTATGCATATTTGTCTGGTAAATAATAATATTTGTATCATAATTATGGTGTTATATGGAATTTAGCGAAAAGTACTATGGAACTCTTATTTTTCAAAGGAATGATGAAAGTCATATCTTATATATTTTATCTAATGGATCAAATGATATCCCCTCGAAAAGTATAGGATATCATATATGTTACAGGATATGCTTTACAAAATGTACATGTATTCACAACTTAAAAATATTTTGAGGGATTTATAAGTAGTCTTCCGGCAAATTGATTAACATATTGTTGAGTTCAGAAATTGTGTGAGAAAGGACTGATAGGTAACTATAGCAATGTGTATTCTGTGTTTCAGGAACGTATACAAGAATCCTACAGTGCTGTTCATCCAAGTATAGCACTAAGTATAGTGAACATCGTCCAAGACTTACTAGGGTCACCCCCAGATATTAACCTCCTGGTGACAATATGTGACTTCTTACTATTGTTACATCCTGCTATGTGTACCTATATATCACATACTGCCTCTAAGTTTTACTTTCTACACAAGTGGAGTAAGTTTGGTTTTGCTTGTTTATTCAACATAGAATAATATTGATATTTACCTAAAATGATTCCTTGTCCTTTCATGCCTCTATATTATGTAAACCATGAGAACTGAACATTAAAAATTGGAATTATTTCTCTTCGTGTTATTTATTTAAATATTTTGATGTTTAGTTTGTGCAGAAGTGGAATAGTTGAGTTTGGGGGAAAACTTTTAATGTACATGCATTGGTAATCTAATAATACATCCCCATTTAAAGCCCAACCCATGTTTGCTCATTTTGAATGTTGAGATATAGCACTGTAATATTTCCTAGGTTCAAGTGAGACTAAGGTTAAGAAGTTACCGCAACCCAGCTATGTTTCACGTCAGATCAGCAAAGAGTCCAGGAATAGATCAGCTGATCATGTACCTGTACACGTCGTCAAACTCAGGAACTCACAATCTGAATCTGAGTCAAATGGTTTGTAATACAGTTTCATCATTATACTGACAAAACTTCTCTTACATTATCCCATCTATGATGATATTTTTTCATATCCATAAAAATGTTAAAGGTTACCAAGTTCTACATTTTGTTTTCTCGCAGCCTTTTATAAGTTTTAGATATCTATTCAATAAGATTTTTGTCCAATTCAGACACATGACAGAGGCCGCTTAGTTATGCATCTGGTTTTCTTTTTGGTGGCCATTTTTTCTGGCAGTCATATAATAAAATTATTTGATAAATCTTGTCATTTGAGTAAATCCACTCATCAGATTTTCTTTGAAGATAACTTTATATTTTATGCTTTCTTGTTGGCATGATAACATTCACATTATGTGCCTGGTGTATATTGTGAGCTAATATTATTTAACAGAAAAAGGTGCCAGACCAAGATCATCAAGTCTACCATTGGTGCCTCATGTAGAGAAATCCATGCAGTTCTTCCAATCCCAGAGCAGTGATGAAGACCCCAAAATGCTAGTTAAGCCAGCCTCCGATACTCTCCTCCCCACACTCTCCAAGACAAACAGACAGCACACTCCAAATATGGAAGACCAGAAAAATGGAGAATCGTTTTTCTTAGATACTGATGATGAAATCACAAATATGTTTTCCTTTGTGAATGAACTTGAAAATGTTGAAGAGGAAAGTATTACAAAGGATTTTAAGGATCTACAGAATTTAGCACTGCAAAAACAATATATTGATGATACTAGCACAAGGAAAGGCCTGTATGAGGACCAGCCTACACTAAACAATGTAGCATCTGAGAACAGTATGTCTTCTATTGGGAGTAGGGTTGAGGCAGGGGAAGAAGGTCTTGTGGAGATTACAACAGGTATGCTCAAACATTTCATGCCTTTGTTTATATGACGGGACTTTTTCGTAAAAATCATAAATTTTTCATTCTAAACCAAAGTAATTAATATTATTGTTTGAAATTTTGGTAGTATATTCGCAACATCTATCTATTTCACATATATTCTGTCCCCCAGGGGCCGTGTATGGGGGTCAGGAAAACAGAAATTTTTGCTAATTTTTAGATCTTTCTGAAGTATAGCTTTATTATACTCAAATGAAAGGCAATTAAGAGTAGATTGCAAATATTGTATCTTTTTTCTGATTCGAGTCTCGTAAAATTCAAAATGGCCGTCTAATGTACGATTTCGCAATAACTTTTCGATCCCTTCAACAGATGGCTATATATTACTCAAATTGAAGGAATTTTGGAGTAGATCACAATACACTGTATTATTTTTCAGATTTGTACCTCAGAAAATTCAAAATGGCTGCTTTGCAGGAATTCACAATTCTAAATTTTTCAATTTTAACCAAAGTAATGAGTATATTAACGCATAACGTGTATGGGGGTCAGGAAAATAGAAATTTTTGCTAATTTTTAGATCTTTCTGAAGTATAGCTTTATTATACTCAAATGAAAGGCAATTAAGAGTAGATTGCAAATATTGTATCTTTTTTCTGATTCGAGTCTCGTAAAATTCAAAATGGCCGTCTAATGTACAATTTCGCAATAATTTTTCGATCCCTTCAAAGTATGGCTATATAATACTCAAATTGAAGGAATTTTGGAGTAGATCACAATTATGGTATTATTTGTCAGATTTGTACCTCAGAAAATTCAAAATGGATTTTTTCAAGATGGCCGCCGCTTTAAAAATGACGGGATTTTTTCGCAAAAATCATAAACTTTTCATTCTAAACCAAAGTAATTAATATTATTGTTTGAAATTTTGGTATTGTATTCGCAACATCTATGTATTTCACATATATTCCATGTTTTTCATCCTGACCCCCAGGGGCCCGTGTATGGGGGGTCAGGAAAACAGAAAATTTTAGATCTTTCTGAAGTATAGCTTTATTATACTCAAATGAAAGGCAATTAAGAGTAGATTGCAAATATTGTGTCTTTTTTCTGATTCGAGCCTCGTAAAATTCAAAATGGCCGTCTAATGTACGATTTCACAATAACTTTTCGATCCCTTCAACAGATGGCTATATATTACTCAAATTGAAGGAATTTTGGAGTAGATCACAATACACTGTATTATTTTTCAGATTTGAACCTCAGAAAATTCAAAATGGCTGCTTTGCAGGAATTCACAATTCTAAATTTTTCAATTTTAACCAAAGTAATGAGTATAATAACGTAGATGCGAGTAGGTAGTAACCAGTTTCACCACCAGGTGGCTCGCTCGGGTCAGATAGCATGGCGGATATAGTAGAAAGTTCCCTTTAACTTAAATTACATCTGTTTTAGTGGTTCAATTTTCATATAACCCTTATGTATCTAATAGTTATGCAAATCAAAATATGTCCAGTAAATGAAAATGTTATCTGGCCACAAGAAAAGATATTTTACTTTTTGTGATTTTGTAACATGGGCTCTATGGAGAATCAACCCGAACTAGAAGTCACACTTTCAAAAATAATTAAATTTTCAAACTTGATAAACAATTTTCGAAACCATATTTCTAGACGTAATTTTACATGTAGATTTCAAATATAACATCGCTTTGACTGGATTTTGAATATTTAATGGCGTAAATCAAGATTTTTTCTACTTGCATCTAGTCAATTGATTGGAATTCGGTAATTGATATTTTGTTCGTTGGGATTTGCTACTCCGCGGAGTTGCCATTATCTAGTTGCATATTTGTTTTACAACTAGCATTCTGGTAAATCATGTCATCTAATCGTTATAATGTCATTTTGGACAGGAATGGTATTTCCTGCAAAGAATAACATCGTAAATCTATCCTATATACCCTAGTTCCATCAATTCATCATATTGAATCAATTGACTGTTATGTATTTTGCCCAGGGAAATCTACTTAAAAGTGTTATCCAAGAAAGTAAGGGGTCACCTGACCCACCTTTTATTTCTTGTTCCTTTGTATTATAAAATATATTATATAATATTATATTCTTGTTTTCTTGTAGGCTTGCTGGACATTTTGAGTAGCTGTGTGTTGAATCTTGCTGACAGTATGGCAGGGAGAGTGTTGGGCACAGTCATTAGACCTCAGATGTTTCTAGTTCTGGCCAACCACACATGTAGCCCAATCAGGGCGGCTGTAATCAAGGTACTATCTTGAAAAAAATGTCAGTATTTAATGGAAATGCAATATATCTATCCGAGAGACCTCAGCAGGTGATATATATATATCACTCGCTCACTTCAGATATCAATTATTTACCCACATGTTATCTACCTATAACACTACTAAGTATGGAATAAAGGTCTTAAATGAACACCTCTCTCTTAAGTGAACACCTCTTTCTAGTGAACACCTGTCTTTTGTGAACAACTCTCATAATTAGGGAACACATGTTCGTTTTAAAACAATTTCCTGGAGCATATTCCATTTACTTTATTTTAAAACCCATTCTAAAGTGGACACTAAGTTTAACTATACGTCATTTACTATATCCATATGTCATGTTTCAGTTGTTGGGTGTCTATCTCCAACGTACCAATACTGCAGAATGGGATAGCTTTTTGGGTTATCAGGGTTTTCAGCTGCTAGCCAGCCAACTACACCAGTACCCTTGTACAGAGGATGTCTTCCATGCATGCTCTTCTCTTGTACTTGGGCCCCAACACATGGATGAGTATGTTAGATTTAAATGTGTTTACTGTAAGATTTAATGCGAAGACAATTCTATTGTAATGATGTTTTACACTAGGATGCAATAATGAAGTTTTTGCCTTCTTAGGATTGTACATTGTTGTGACAGTTTATTTCAAAAATCACTAATAAGTCTAATTATACAAGGTTTGCACTGGAGATGATGGAGGAGGCGCCATCTATTCAGCAACAAGGTGTTGTCACAATCCTGGCTCTTCTAGAAGGTGCTGTTCATAGTGTGGAGCTACTCTCTTCTCTCTTGGAGACAATAAAACAGGTAAATGCTTTATCATTGTCTTGTTTGGCTTAAGCCACACACTGAATGTGTAGAATTTCATTCATCAAATGCCTCAAGTGAGTAGCCCCTGCCCCTGTTGTTTCTGAAAGTATGAGACTCATTAGCTATTATTCATGTCATTTTTTCATTTTTATAATCATACATACTTTTCATCAATATATTTCTCACATTTTTGGTAGATATTTGCACGTTATTGAAGAATTAAAATCCAAAATCATTTTTGATTAAAATGTTTAAATGACAATTCAAGTTTTTGTGAATATGCAGACCTATCTTTAAATCAATATAGATTTTACATTTTACTCAGTACACAGGGTCTAAATGTCTCACAAAATGTTTTACACATGTGAATGGGCAGTTTTCATGCATCATTTTAGCACATATGTTTTTCATCCTGCAGCTGTTTAAGAGTTCTCCAGTCATGGCTGCTATTATGTTAGAGAGAGGACTAGTGGAGTCATTATGTAACACCACAGTGGCCATATTGGAGCAGTCTCAAAGGTTAGCAGAAAGATTGCATTCTTTTAAATGACTTACATTCTGGCATATTGCTCTGCAACTTGTTCCTTGTAGGTATATGTAATGTCTGTCTTAAGTAAGTTATACACCAATGATGTATTGAACATTTTACAATAAAATTGTACATATAATTTATCATTTATTATTTGGCCTCCCAATGTATACACCTGCCTTGGAAAATGTAAATGTAATTTTTTGGGTTTAAACATACAGCAAACAATATATTAATGAGAATGATGTTTGCAGTGGGCATGTATTGTTGTATCTTGTGTTCCTTTTAATATTAATTGCAAAGTACAATAAGTTTATGGTTTATTTTTATTTCCTAGGGATGATTGGCCTTCAGAGGCTGAAAGATCAAGACTTTTGGAGCAAATACAACACCTATTCTGCCTGATAGCCTTGACAGATTTCAAGTAAGCGATGAATTATTTCAAATAGATTCTCACATGTTTTGATTGCTTAACACAATCTGATCCAGTTTGTTTAAATTCATTAAAACGTTGTCATAACATTAGCACATGTCAAGTGTAAGAGCCATACTACATTTAAGTAAATATTAATACAAGTATTGAATGAGTGTAGTATGTTCTGTCTACACAGGTCCAGCACCTATGCAAGCTATAACAGTATCCGAGAGCTAATCTCATCATTGAGCTGTCTAGAGCGCCACTTACAGGTGCCCCTGAGGGTCTATGTGAGACGCATACAGTATGAACTGCTGTCATATGTTCTACACTATGCCTTCTCCAGAACCTGCCCTGGTCTACTTCATATACTCAGTCCAAAGTACTTGTTTCGTAAGTGTTAAACATTTATGATATAGAGGATATCCTATGATTTATGAGTGATATCAATATATGCAGATATCAATATCCATGAGTGGATTAAAATCATATCACGAGTAAATCATAGGATGTTCTTTTTATTCCATAGTTAAAGTCATCATCAGAATCGTCGGAAATTAAGTGATTTAATTCGAATTTTCCAAACGATCCGGCGATGTTGACACTTAGCCTCATTTTGAGTCTGAAGTAGCAAAAATCCATAATTCATAGCATACGACCTCTAATATAAATACTCATCAACTTGGCCATTGCGTATTTTGGACCAAATACTATCATGTCATATAAAATAGAAGCCAAATCATTTATGTACAGTGATTTTTATAGTCAGTTTGTTTCATCACAGAACGTGTACAATATTGCTTACCAATTGCCTTTATACGCTTGCATCACAGAGGCTTAATACTGTAGATTGGGTTAATTTGGCGCCCGCTTTAATTTGGCGAAATTGAAAAATTCGCCAATATAAATCTTCGCCAAAATTTAGAATGAATCCCCGGGAATTATCTAGGGTATTTCGTCCAGTGTATTTAGGTCACTTCCGGTTAAGTTTTTTCCAAAAATATGAAAAAATGTCTCTCCTAAATTGGCTTAGAACTGGTCAGTCACTCATTAATACTCAGGGAAAAGGTGATGTATAGTAGCAGCATCGATCGAGGTGCAAAATGTAAAGGATGATCTCACAAAAATGTACAAACGTGGTGAATATCGCCAGTGGTCCTCAACTTTTGAGGACTTTTAAAAAATGAACATGCCCATTTACATAGTAATTTGCTAACAGCGCGCAAGTATAACATTGTATTAAATTTTTTTTGCATATCCGCCAAATTAAATAGCCGCCAATATGCCAAAAATGGCAAAATCGCCAAATTAAGTAGCGCCAAATTAACCCAATCTACAGTAGTTATTCTTTCTTGTAAATCTTACAGAAAATCCCAGGTTACAGCAACTACTGCAGGGTGGTGTGGAAGAAAAGCGAGTGGAAGATTTGGGTTATATTGAGTTGCAGGATAGGTTTCACAAGCTTGCCATTCTATGTATAGATGTCGCTGTTAGCTCCGGTAGGTGCCATTTCATCTTGAAATTTTATCTATTAAATAAATATATAATCTCGGGTTTTCATTTTTTTACAAAACTAGTTAGAAACCCATGCCTCTCTATCGTTTCAAAAAATTTACCCAACGTGGCGGTCTCTGTTAATTTATGGCATCCATACTTTTCTGAGAGGTAACACTTTGAGGTTCAATTTTTTGCCGGATGCCCTTGCAAACTCTCATTTGTTGCTCTGTATTGTAGCATTCCGTTACCATGGTTACGCATCTATAGGCATCTTACCTTGGAATCTTAAATCATTTGTAGCTTTGTCATTATTTTGTCTATAGATATGATATTGGTATCAAATTAAACCTAATTAAATTTCGAATATAATTGAAATATTCAATTATGCAAATGAGCTAATTTGCATAAATTGTGACGTCATAAATCTATTTTTGGTTCAGAATTTTCAAGTATAGCAATGTATCTTTAAGAAATGAAGCCGTATGGTAGAATTTCTTCAATGTGATGACTTTTATTCTATGAGCAGAAGGTTTAAGCAACATAAAAGTGAAAACAGATTCAAAATTGGATCAGAACTAACAAAGTTATTAAGCTTTCTGGGCAGCTACCATGAACGTTATCATTGAACAATTAACTTTAAACATCTTACCTTAGAATTGAAATGTTTGGTAGCTTTGTCATTATTTGGTCTATATAGGAGGTCTTGGTATTGAATTGATCCTAATTGAATGAACGGTATGGTAACGATATTCAATTATGCAAATTAGCTAATTTGCATAAATTATGATGTCATCAATCTATTTTTGGCTCAGAACTTCCAAGTATAGCAACAAATTTATAAGATCCGAGGTTGGATGGTGTAGTTTCTGCATAGTTCGTCATTTATACTATGAGTAGAAGAGGTATGAGCAACATCGAAAAATATTCAAAATTGAATGAGTATTAGTAAAGTAATTCAGCTTTTGAGGCAGCTGCTATGAACGTTACTATTTGACAAACATAAATAAAACACTGAAATAACAAAAATGAAACAAAGTTGATTCAAGCTTATTGAGTGAAAAATATATATTTTACATGTCACTGAAGTAGTTGGTGTATAGAAATGATATGGGTATTCATAATTTTGACTATCATTGACAGGGGTCAAAACAGTTTTTTTTGATTTTGTAACATGATTTATTGTTTGTGAGAAAGTTATGGATTAATCAGTTAATGAATGGGTGAATCAGTATGGTGAAATCTGTTATGTAATCTATAAATCATTGAAATGATTTGCTTCATAGGCGTCAATCTATTTAAAAATTCAAAACATCGTGACTGGTGAAACATCAATATTTGTGCTGCAATTCAAGCAGTGAACATCTACATGAATTTTTAAACTGATTTGCTTCATAGGCGTCAATCTATTTAAAAGGACGAAACATCATGACTGGTCAAACATTAATATTTGTGCTGCGATTCAAGCAGTAATCATCTACATGACCTGTTAATACAAATTGATGACGTTATATCACAAAATGTATGTCATTGCTGTTTTTTATGTCACCACCAAAAGCGGTGACATATTGTTCTCCATTTGTCTGCATTTTTGAGACGGCGTTTGACATCTGGTGTCTGGCCTTTGGCATCTGTAACAAATGGCAGGTTGAGACATTTTTCATGTGTATGCCTTGTTTGAATTATTTACAAAATGTTATAAAAATTGACTTTTTGCATGCTGGTGACGTTGCGCCATTCTTACACCTAAAACCTAACTGATTTTACCATACTATATGCTTTTTGAAGAAAGAAATCTTATTTGTTGAATTTTCGAGCAGAAATCGACTCCCTTCACTCATTTTGTCAGATTACTGGCAGTGACATTAAAGAGACAATTTTTATAATCTAGAGTGTCTCAAAAAATGAACCAAAGGTATATCAACAGCAAAGATAAATCAATCAATATTTTCAGATATTTTGCATGGTCATTTAGGAAAAGCAGGTAAGTTTTCTCTCTAATACTAATTTTTTAGTTCAGTCTTGCCTTTTTGATGCTTTGACCCTTTTTATACCATGTGTTTAATTTCACCTCCTTACGATAAAAGCCTGCATTCTTACTGCTACATTGCTTATTGTATATGACAATTTTTCTGGTGGAATGTTTTGAATTTCCTTTCACATGTCATTCCAGAGAAAATGTTTGGGGTGTCAAATCTCTTGAATAGGGAGGCCTTCACACTGTCTTTATATAGAGAGAAGAAACTGCTTTCATGGGAATTTTTGTGTGGCCCTTGCTGTACATGGAGGGGCTCAAACTGTCTGGAACCACAGAGTTCTCATTTGGATATCATTCAGTCTCTGTAACTCTGGCAGATGGAACTCCATTATCAATTAACTGCTAAATCATTTGATGATAATTGAGCTGGTTCTCTGTGATTGTTCTGCCATCTTCAACCATAAAGCCAACACCCAAAAAGAAATTCAAAACGTTCCACCTGAAACATTATCAAATGTGATGAACAATGTAGCACAAGGATACAGGCTGTCATCGAAATATGAAGTAAAAAGTAAAGGGTTAAATCATCAAAATGCAAGACTGAACTGAAAACTTTGTATTGGGGAGGAAACTTACATGCTTTAGCAACATGACCATGCAAAAAATCGTGGTGTTAATATACTTTTCGGTACATTGAATGAAAAGGATACAGTCAGCATAGGTTTTATGTTTTCTTCCAATATTGCATCAGGCTCCGTACACTGACTTTTGCGATGTTTATATCTTGGCCCCAAGCTAATTTTGGCCCACTTTGCAAATGGAATGATTACTCGCCCAACCATGACCAAATATCAATGAATGATATATCATTGTAAAGAGGAGACACATGGCTTCATGGTGCATTGAATGAAATCAATGATGTTATCACTGGTTTTGTGCTTTTCCGAGATGACAATCTTTTTGATACACACTGTATTGATTAGATCTTCATTAGATTAGATCATTCAATATTAAAGCTTCTAAACTATAAAAAGTGTAAATTAAAATAGTTTAGATTCAACCTCTGTCAATCATCTACGTGATTAACTCCTTTATTCTGCACTTAAATCTCCTGTTGTTACGGTTCTCAGTTTTGAATGGTATCTATGGAGATATACCTGAAATCCATCCATTTGAGACTCATATTTTTCATAGATTTTTGGTATTTCATATTTTGGAAACCTTTTAAAACAAGTTCAGATTACAAGTCCTATACCATACATACTTTGGGACATAAGAGATAGATGTAGGAAACCTTTATGTAGATGTAGGCAGGGTTAGTTAAAGTCCTACAACAATCAATTCTTTCAAAAATATTTTAAAGGGCATTTTTTCGTCGTGACTATTTTGATCAATAGACTTTAATTTCAGGATTACTGGTACTACTACTGAGCTCTTGTATGGATTTTGTCATCATTTTTCATTGCATATCGAAGAGGTTATATTATGTAAAATTATATTAAAAATTACTTTTCATTTTGCTTCTTTAAGTACCTACTATCTGCTTATAGTCCATTTTCAGAAAAGCTATAACATAAATCATTCTAAGGTTGAATCACCAAGGATTTTGAAGGTTGAAAAATTCCCCTAAAGTAGTTATCACATTAGCTGTATGGGCTCGCCATTTGCCACCGATTGACATATTTTGGGCATTGATTTTTGGAAATGTTAACATATAAGTTCTAAAGTTGACACTCTATCTGTATTTTAAATATAAAATGGTAGTTAAGATTTATTTAGTTTATGTCCAAATATCAACAAAATTTTGTTTTCAGCTTTTTCACATGCTAGAAATCAAATGAAACCAGGAATACTCTTCCATATAGATTTTGTAAATATTGATATGTACAGGGTGTCAAAAAACAACGGCACCCCCCTCTACAGCAAAAAGTACTTAATGTTACATGGTGTGTCATATCTCATTTTAAAGACAATTTAATTCTGGAGTTACCAGAGAAATTTCAGCTTAATATCATATAATTTTACAGATTTAAAGCTGATTCTTAGTAGTTGGTATGACCACCAGTTGCTGCTCAACCAGCAGCTTATCTGGACGGATATGATTTCAATAAAAATTCAGATAAAGGTGTAGCATTGCATAATCCTCTAAGCACTTTCCTCACATTCTTCAGAAATACATCCTCACTGTATCTTTTTTCAAGAGGCTCTTTGTCCATCAGTTCCTATACCCTGTTTTTCAGAACTGAACCCATATATTCAGTGCAGTTGAAATCTGGGCTAATTCTTTCACATTCCACTTTCTGAAGATTTGACCTTTATCAGTAACAGAGCAGCAAACAAAGCACCCAAGTAGCAAACTTAAAAACAATGTAGCTTGTTTAGTATAAAGTTTTATTATATGAAATTTGAGGAGTAACTCCAGAATTAGATTATCTTTCAAATGAGGTATGACACGATATTGAACATTCAGGACTTTTTGCTGTAGAGGGGGGTGCGGTTGTTTTTTGACACCCTGTATATCTAAGTCAGCATATGTCAAAATAGCATAATTAAAGCATTACTATGTATTCATATGGATCATTGACAGTTTATGGTAAATTATAAAATTAGATTTTAAAATACAAGATCAAGATCACATGATTTTGACCCCTGTGAATGATAGTCAAAATACATGTAACATTTCCACATACTTCATGTACAGTTCAATGGAAAAATATGAACAAGTCATGTACATTTTTACTCAATAAGATTGAAACAACTATGTTTGTTTCTTTTTTTGTTATTGTAATATTTTTATAATTGTCAAACAATGACGTTCACAGTAGCTGCCGCAAAAGCTGAATAACTTTGCTAATTCTGACCCAATTTTGAATCTGTTGTCTCTTGAATGTTGCCTCTATCTTCCACTCATCAAATAAAGTTCAAAACTATGCACACATTCTGTCATTCGGCCTAAGTTCTAATATGTATGTTGCTAACTGTGATATTCTGAACAAAAATAGATTGATGACGTCACAATTTATGCAAATTAGCTAATTTGCATAATTGAATATTGTAATCGTACAGGAAATTTTATAAGGTTTAATTTGATACCAATATCATATCTATAGACCAAATAATGACAAAGCTACAAACACTTTAAATGTCCATGGTAAGATGTCTGAATAAAATTGTCAAATAATGACATTCACAATAGCTGCCTCGAAAGTTTAATAACTTTGGCAATACTGATCCAATTTTGAATCTGTTTTCACTTTTATGTTGCTTATACATTCTTCTTATAGTCTAAAAGACCAAACTTTGCCGAAATTCTGACATACAGCCTCAGTACAAATAGATATGTTGCTATTCTCGAAATTTCTGAAACAAAAATTGATTGATGACGTCACAATTTATTCAAATTATCTAATTTGCATAATTGAATATCATTACTTTATGAGAAAATTAATTAGGTTTAATTTGATACCAATATCATCTCTATAGACCAAATAATGACAAAGTTACAAATGATTTAAGATTCCAAGGTAAGATGTCTATAGATGCGTAACCATGGTAACGGAATGCTACAATACAGAGCAACCAATGAGAGTTTGCAAGGGCATCCGGCAAAAAATTGAGCCTCAAAGTGTTACCTTTCAAAAAAGTATGGATGCCATAAATTAACAGAGACCGCCACGTTGGGTAAATTTTTTGAAACGATAGAGAGGCATGGGTTTCTAACTATTTTGTCCAGTCTTCTTGAAAACATGAATCTCCTGGTCTAATATTATTTGTTTGTTTCAGGGTTGCTAGGAGATGGTGTAGATCCAGATTCTGATGTTGAATCTGCCAGAATAATGTTCATTCAACAATGTCTGTCTTTACTTGGTACATGTGTTACAGGACTTGTGGTGAGTTACATACATTATTGCCATTGTACTTTTGAATTAATCTGAACTATTATTGAAATACCAGTTCAAAAATATTCTTGGACGAATACTGTCTATGAATTTCTTTTGAAATTTTCACTTCTTTTTACTGTAAAATATGAAGGACAATAAAAATTCAAATATGACATTAACTATCACCATGGAAACAGTGATTGAGTGGTGACATATTGTTATAGTCATCAACATTTTTGTGGATGGTGTTCAGTGGTTGGTTTGACGGTAGGTCTGTAATCTGGAACAAATGGCTTTCAGCGCTTGGCATCTGTATCAAATGACAGGTGGTGACATTTTGCATATTAATGCCTTGTTTGTTTTTACAGCAGATGGTTCCAAGGCCTCTTTACACGAGGTCTTACAGCAATGGGGGCCAGGTGTCAGCTAACATGAAAGATCACCTTAGATATCAGGTAGCCATTTATTTATTTCATTATTCAAATAAATGACAAAATTCTGGTATGTGTATGGAGCCAAGTCATGCAGGAGGCTTCCAAATTAAACATCTGAACATTTTCAAACAGAGAAGACCTTGTTCAAAATCACAATATGCTAATACTATCTGATTCTATTTCTCCTTTGACTGAAGTGATTGATCTCCTTGTATTTCTGTATTGTATCACAATTCATGTTAATGGACTCTCCACTTTCTCTGTTTTGCATTTTGAAACACAACAGTGACAACATTCTTGACATAATTTTCCAGTTGCAAAGGTTGTTAGCATACATGTTATCACCATGGGAGACTTTGTCTATGAGGCTACAATTGGTGGAGATGTTAGTAGAAGCTGATGCAACCATCTTTAGAAAGGCCATGGCAACTGTCACTCATGTAAGTTACTATGGCAATCATTGTTTCTAAATATTAAAATTGGAATGCTGTGACTCTGGCCCTCAGAGGTTGATAGAATTATTGTTAAATTATTTCTCTAAATTATTTTTTCAGGAAGGTGAGTTGATTATGGAACATGTTTGTATGATATCTCTCCTTGACAACCAGAGGAATCCTAGCAATTTGGAGCATCCCATTGACAACTATGAGTATCCTCTTAGTGACCAGGAGAAATTCACTAGCCATCAAGAGCATTCCCATAGCAACCAGGAGAAATCTACTGGCAACCAGGAGCATCCTCTTAGCAACCAAGCAAAACAAAATTTGAATATTATTCTACAAGCCCTGGCAGATAATGGATACCAAGTGCCATCTCCAGAAATGAACCAAGAACAAAATGTTGAAAAGGTTCGAAATAAGATTTTGTATATTTTCTTTGTATGGTAAACATTGAATTGTTAAAATACAACTCATTCATATTATGTTAGTTAAATTTTGCAAATATTTCAAAAGACTAAATCTTGATTCCCTCCCCCTGGCTGTGCTGCGTACATTATGATTTGGGGTCTATTTTAGGATTCTGCAAGTTGGCACGAGGAGTGTGCAAAGAATATCAGCATTTGGCAAGACAGGTGTAAGGCTGAACATGCAAGGTGAACTAATTAAAAGTGTTTTTGTAAATTGCTTATTGGAATGAACAAAAGTGAAAATGGCCAGAAATTGTGCAAAAGAGAATAGATTCTATCAGAAGATATCACTTATTGCAATTCAGACCACATAATTTGCACATGTGGTGTGTCATATTTGATAAAATGTGCGTGTGATGTTAAATATGCATTGGTGACCATATAAAACCCAAGATGACACGTATCAAGTCAAGCAAGACGGTCCAGAGTTGGTCACTTGTGAAAATTTCTTTATTAATTTTAGAGCATGTGACAGAAGTGAGGCTTTTGCTAAGACTGTGTCTGGTTTAGCAATGGAAGTGACACAAAATGTGACGCAGAGTCAGAATAAAGAACGCAGACAGTTCCTTGATTACTACAAAAGGGGCTTAACCAATGGATTGTTTATTAAAAAAGCCTGGAAAAATATTATTGAACAATTAACGCATGAGAGGTATGTGAAGACATGTATCTTTACTTTTTATTCATTTTTAATATTTGCAAACTTATGTATTTTTATCATTTCACATGAATCATTAAATCTGCTTTCAATATAATTTAGGATTTATCACTTTGCCAGTTACAGACTAAGGTTTGTTTCTCTCACTTTTTTGTCTGTTAAAATAATATGTGCCAATATTATGCTACAATAATATACTAGAATATTGTTCCCCAGGGCTGTTTGGCACTACCCAGAGTCCTACCCCCAAACCTGGCAGCTTGACCCCACAGAGGGACCCCACAGGGTCAGGTGTCGACTACAGAGAAGTCATCACACTATTGAGCAACGATTCTACGATGAAGAACATATTTCAAAATTAGGTATGAAACACCAACCATGAGAATAATATTGTGTGGTTACATTTGAATGTGGATATAGGTATATATATATAGATGGAATATTGCAAAGAATGATTTTAACAGATATTGTGTAAAAATATCTGACAGTCAAGCTATATTTCCCAGAGAAAAACTATTTTAGACCAGAAAAAATATTAGAATTTGTATGAAATGAGAATTATACTAAATGGTTATCCATTATATTGCAGACCCTGAGTACCATAGTGCTCCATTGACATTCCTCTTGGAGGAAGAAGCAGAGTCTGCTCCTTACTCTGCTGCCATGATCTCCAAACTACACTCTAATGAAAAAATAAGGTAGGTTCTTTAAGTCATTAGTCACTCCTCTCATTTATAAATAGTACTGACTTTTAGTGGCCAGAATCAAAGACAACTGAAGGTGGTTGTTTGTCCTTGTTTACAGTGTTCAGGTCCTCATTTGGGCATTGTTTTATAAATATGAGCATTATTTTTCAAAATTTGGGCACAAAATTACTTTACATTACAAAGGAAGTTGGTTTAGCATTGAAAAAAAAAATTATGTTTGGTTGGGGGGTTTAGAGCCATACAGTTTTTGGTGATGGTTACAGCCATGGGGCTGTCAGAAATATCTTGATATTTTTAGAAATTAATATGTTTACTGGCAATACACTTTCCCAATATGCTTGATATTTATCCCACAGAAAAAAGTTCAAGGGGGATATAGAGAAGCCGTCTGCCTGTATGGGCAATAACTCAAATTCCGGTTGACGGATTTGATTCAAATTTTATAGGCTTATGTCTCTAGGACCTCAGCTCAAGAAGAAATTTTCAATATGGCTACTCAATTTTAAAATGGCCACCATTTTTCGTATGATGTTTGATGACTCAAATACTAGTTGAAATGCTGATGCCTAGGTACAAAGCAGTATTGCTCAAGAAGATATTTTCAAAATGGCCACCATTCTAAAATGTAATCTTTGATAACTGAAATACTATTGGATGGATTTGGTTCAAGTTTTATATGCTGATGCCTGACTACAAATGAGCTCTGGGCAAGAGCAAATTGTCAAGATGGCGGTTGAATTTCAAAATGACCACAATTTTTGTAAAAGAACATAATTTTTGATAACTCAAATTCCATTGGTTCAATTTGGATTTGGTCCAAATTTTATATGCTGATGCCAAGGGAGCTCTGCCAAAGAAGGCATTTTCAAGATGGCCACTTCATTTCAAAATGGCCTCCATTTTTCATAAAAAAAGGTGATGTGTGTTAACTCAAATATCATTGTACGGATACGGTCCATCCACATTCAATTTATGTATCTATAGTGCCCATTTGACCTGTCATCGCCATTTCCCAGTTCACCCAGTTCTCGAGAAATTGCCAATTTTGAGGTAAAAAGTCCAATTTTTATGTCACCACCAAAAAGTGGTGACATTTTGCATGTTAATGCCTTGTCTCCAAATATCAGACACTTTGTTAAAGTAGAACTTTCAAATAAATGTTAGAAATTGCCATATGTGTAACATATGTTCTCTGAAGATTTCAAAGCTCTTTGAATTACAGTTTTCAGTGTTTACTCTAGCCTTGCCCAAGTCGGTCTCTTTTACTATCTGATTTCTATTATGACCGCCTTGTACAAAAGAGAAAGCCACGTGCTTTACCGACTCAATGTTTATGTCGGTAAAATTTGACCAATCAACGACGGCCCTGCAGTGCTAGCTCATTATTATGCATGGTCAAAAACAAGTACACTTTCGTCGGGACTTTTCACGAACAAATCTTGCATGAATTCATAATGAAAATACAAATATTTTATCAGATAAATATCAATCAGAGTTAAGTGGATGCTAGACATCGATCGGTAACCGGAGGTTAGAAGATTTCAACAATAAATGTTGAAATGATCGCTGAATTCAAATGAACATGTAGGCTGAGATTCAATCACTGATCGACGAGTGTACATGACCCGCTACATTGGACTAGGTCTTGCATTTTCATCGCAAAATCAGTTTTAAATCTATTGCATGATTTAATTTATATTAATGACTCTTACATTCCCTATGTACATTTAATTACATAATATATTGTAACTCTTAAGAAACGATCGATCAGATCATTGAATTTCAAGTCGTAGACGGGAAGATTGCTTTGCTGTGCAGCTCAACCTGATAACGTTTTGATTGGTCAATCAGCCTGAAGTCACACGTCGTGTCCACGCGTATATCTGTCAATCAATAAGGTTTCGCGATACCCCTGATAGCGTAGGTATTATGGAAATCTCGAAACCGTTGAATATCTCAGCATAATAGCAGCGGAGATGTATTGGATTGTACAAGGCGGTAATAATTCAAGATCAGATAAGTAAAAAATACCAACTTGGGCAAGGCTATGTTTACTCTTTAAAGTCAAAAAGTAGGACTTTGTCATTTTCAGGGAATTTTCTCATGTATAAGGTCAATGGCAGGTTTTGTGATTGAAAATTGTTTTAAAGTAACTATAAGTAACTGAGTAACTAACTCAATGACTTAGTACCTACCTAAGTCTAAATATGAGTACCTTAATGACTTAGTAATTAACTCGTGTAAATTGGACAAAAAGAGTTCTTTCTGTTCAGAGTTAATCCTTTCCAAACATAATGTGGTCACAAATCACTGTTTGGCCACAGGGCAATAGGTCCTTCATGTAAAATAATGAAACCAAATGACATTGTTGTAGCCATACTGCAAGCTGTATAAGTGTCACTGTTTGGCCACAGGGCAATAGGTCCTTTATGTAAAATAATGAAACCAAATGACATTGTTGTAGCCATACTGCAAGCTGTATGAGTGTCACCCAATCCAGTGAAACCAGAGGAGAAATTCTGTTTGGTAAGCTGCTATGATTAATAGAATTTTCAAGTGAAACTAAGAGTTTTAATTCTTAAATATGATTATAATGAGTAAAATAGAAAAATTTAAGATGTTAGCCTTTTCAAAGAATTTTTCTCATTTTCTTAAAGAAGGTTCCAAAAGTTTCCTTTTAAAAGTTATTATCCACTGGTTTTTTTTATTTGGTCATAATGTCAAATTATTTCTGGCTCAACCTGCAAAAATTATATTACAGTCATTAGGATTTAATTTTTATTAAATTGTCTATTTTAGGTGAGAAGACCATATATTTTGTTGGTGATGAAACCTTTCTGGAGGGGACAAATGTCCAGGTAATTTGATTGGTCATAGTTTATGGTATCTTTGTCAGTTTTCATATTTTTAGCGTAAAACAATCAAAATGTATTTTCTAGCGTAAAACATTTATAATGAGAATCTCAATATTCCCAATAATTATTTTAGAAAACACTTTTTGTTTATATGAGCTTCTGGTTTGAGTTCTGATTTCTTGATTTTATGTTTACTGTGTGGTATTTCCCACATGTAACCACAATCTAGCTTAGGGATTAAAATTTTGCCCATGGTCAAAAAAGCATGTATAAAAATGCAGTCTAATTAATACCTGGGTCACATTTGCATTCACAAATGACAAAATATTTATATTGAACATTTTCGTAATATTCTTTTTGTTCAAAACAATGAAATTGTAACATTTAAACTTAAAAAATTTAAATTTTAAAATTAAAGAATTAAAACTGGATATTTAAACTTTTTTAAACTTTTGAAAAATTCCCGGGAGCGGGATAGATATATTATATCTGCCCGCATTTGGCCTGGAGCGGGACATATACAATATATCCTGCCCGCTCCTCAGATACGATATATATTCCCGGGTGATATCTACCCCAAACCCACTCAAGTATGAGATACGACCATGTACATGTACTGTTATAATACCATTTTCATCCTTTTTATTTTATTTAGAGTACACCACGCCATGAGACTTGGCCATTTGAAGATATTCGGGAGATCTTGAAACGCTGGTACCAGTTGAAGGACAATGCACTTGAAATATTCCTCACCCATGGCAATTCTTACCTCTTAGCCTTCCAGTCTACAAAGGTATTCACTTTATTGTAATATTCCGCACCCATGGCAATTCTTACCTCTTAGCCTTCCAGTAGGTATTCACTTTATTGTAATATTCAGCACCCATGGCAATTCTTACCTCTTAGCCTTCAAGTCTACAAAGGTATTCACTTTATTGTAATATTCCGCACCCATGGCAATTCTTACCTCTTAGCCTTCCAGTAGGTATTCACTTTATTGTAATATTCTGCACCCATGGCAATTCTTACCTCTTAGCCTTCCAGTCTACAAAGGTATTCACTTTATTGTAATATTCCGCACCCATGGCAATTCTTACCTCTTAGCCTTCCAGTCTGCAAAGGTATTCACTTTATTGTAATATTCTGCACCCATGGCAATTCTTACCTCTTAGCCTTCCAGTCTACAAAGGTATTCATTTTATTGTAATATTCCGCACCCATGGCAATTCTTACCTCTTAGCCTTCCAGTCTACAAAGGTATTCACTTTATTGTAATATTCCGCAACCATGGCAATTCTTACCTCTTAGCCTTCCAGTCTACAAAGGTATTCACTTTATTGTAATATTCCGCACCCATGGCAATTCTTACCTCTTAGCCTTCCAGTCTACAAAGGTATTCACTTTATTGTAATATTCCGCACCCATGGCAATTCTTACCTCTTAGCCTTCCAGTCTACAAAGGTATTCACTTTATTGTAATATTCCGCACCCATGGCAATTCTTACCTCTTAGCCTTCAAGTCTACAAAGGTATTCACTTTATTGTAATATTCCGCACCCATGGCAATTCTTACCTCTTAGCCTTCCAGTCTACAAAGGTATTCACTTTATTGTAATATTCCTCACCCATGGCAATTCTTACCTCTTAGCCTTCCAGTCTACAAAGGTATTCACTTTATTGTAATATTCCGCACCCATGGCAATTATTACCTCTTAGCCTTCAAGTCTACAAAGGTATTCACTTTATTGTAATATTCCGCACCCATGGCAATTCTTACCTCTTAGCCTTCCAGTCTACAAAGGTATTCACTTTATTGTAATATTCCGCACCCATGGCAATTCTTACCTCTTAGCCTTCAAGTCTACAAAGGTATTCACTTTATTGTAATATTCCGCAACCATGGCAATTCTTACCTCTTAGCCTTCCAGTCTACAAAGGTATTCACTTTATTGTAATATTCCGCACCCATGGCAATTCTTACCTCTTAGCCTTCAAGTCTACAAAGGTATTCACTTTATTGTAATATTCTGCACCCATGGCAATTCTTACCTCTTAGCCTTCAAGTCTACAAAGGTATTCACTTTATTGTAATATTCCGCACCCATGGCAATTCTTACCTCTTAGCCTTCAAGTCTACAAAGGTATTCACTTTATTGTAATATTCCGCACCCATGGCAATTCTTACCTCTTAGCCTTCAAGTCTACAAAGGTATTCACTTTATTGTAATATTCCTCACCCATGGCAATTCTTACCTCTTAGCCTTCCAGTCTACAAATGTATTCTCTTAAATGTTTCATTATAAGTTCAGTTTGTATAAGCTTTTAAATGTGAACTGATTTGACTCTGTCTAAAATTTGAAAGATCTAAGAACACATAAACAGAATACCTCCTGATTTCTTAAAAATATTGTGTGAGTGCGATCATTGATTCAGGAATACTTTTTGTAGTCTTGCCAAGATTATTCCTATTGGTTTGATTGGCAAAATTTTTCCCTGGGATAGGTTCACAAAGAGCATTTCAGTACATTCTTTAAATTTTTACTACATCTCTGATTTACAATATTTAGCCATTGTGATAACTCCTTTTCTGTCACTCTTTGCGTCTTAAAAGTTAATGACTGAACATACCATTGTGTTTTATATCAGGAGAGGGATGCTATATACAGATGCTTAGAATCATTAGATCTGCCAAACGTCATACGTGGTGAGGACTTTCAAGCTATCCACCAGTTCTGGATCCGTGGAGAGATGACCAACTTTGAGTACCTGACCCACCTTAACAAGATGGCTGGAAGGTCTTTCAATGATCTAATGCAATACCCAGTGTTCCCCTTTATACTGGCTGAATATAAGAGCAGCACAATAGACCTTAAAGATCCCAGAATTTACAGGTATAAGTGAGGTCAATGTTCTCACTATATGTAAATACTATGTGCATTATGTGGACTATGTTATCACTATAATTAAGGAAAATGTTAACAGTATTAGTGACGACAATGTTTTCACATATATGTTAGGAAAATGTTTGTTCTACAAGTGAAGACTATGTTTGCCCAAGTTGGGGGCAATGTGCACTCTAGCTGAGAACTGCTGTTTGCTTGAGAGTTTGATGTATACTTTGATTCCTGTTTGCTTGAGGGTTTGATGTATACTTTGTTCCTGTTTGCTTGAGGGTTTGATGTATACTTTGATACCTGTTTGCTTGAGGGTTTGATGTATACTTTGATTCCTGTTTGCTTGGGGGTTTGATGTATACTTTGATTCCTGTTTGCTTGAGGGTTTGATGTATACTTTAATTCCTGTTTGCTTGAGAGTTTGATGTATACTTTGATTCCTGTTTGCCTGAGGGTTTGATGTATATTTCGATTCCTGTTTGCTTGAGGGTTTGATGTATACTTTGATTCCTGTTTGCCTGAGGGTTTGATGTATATTTCGATTCCTGTTTGCTTGAGAGTTTGATGTATACTTTGATTCCTGTTTGCCTGAGGGTTTGATGTATACTTCGATTCCTGTTTGCTTGAGGGTTTGATGTATACTTTGATTCCTGTTTGCTAGAGGGTTTGATGTATACTTTGATTCCTGTTTGCTTGAGGGTTTGATGTATACTTTGATTCCTGTTTGCTTGAGAGTTTGATGTTTACTTTGTTCCTGTTTGCCTGAGGGTTTGATGTATACTTTGATTCCTGTTTACCTGAGGGTTTGATGTATACTTTAATTCCTGTTTGCTTGAGAGTTTGATGTATACTTTGATTCCTGTTTGCCTGAGGGTTTGATGTATATTTCGATTCCTGTTTGCTTGAGGGTTTGATGTATACTTTGATTCCTGTTTGCCTGAGGGTTTGATGTATATTTCGATTCCTGTTTGTTTGAGAGTTTGATGTATACTTTGATTCCTGTTTGCCTGAGGGTTTGATGTATACTTCGATTCCTGTTTGCTTGAGGGTTTGATGTATACTTTGATTCCTGTTTGCTAGAGGGTTTGATGTATACTTTGATTCCTGTTTGCTTGAGGGTTTGATGTATACTTTGATTCCTGTTTGCCTGAGGGTTTGATGTATATTTCGATTCCTGTTTGCTTGAGGGTTTGATGTATACTTTGATTCATGTTTGCTTGAGGGTTTGATGTATACTTTGATTCATGTTTGCTTGAGGGTTTGATGTATACTTTGATTCAATGTCTCACATTTTTATGAAGGTTTCAGGGATGGGACCAACAATTTGTTGATTTGCCAAAGTTCACTGATAGGATGAAAATGAAAAAACACATAATTCATGAACAGTATGTCCAAAAAAATGATAACACTTGACTGATCTTTACTTGCAGAGACCTAAGCAAGCCTATGGCAGTGCAGCATAAGGAGAGAGAGAAGAGATATATAGAGAATTACAAGTGGCTAGATGCTGAGTACAAGCGCTCTGCAGGCCATGATGAATACAAGCCTCCACCCTATCACTATGGCTCTCACTACTCCAATAGTGGAACTGTGCTACACTTCCTTGTGAGACTCCCTCCATTCACACAGATGTTCCTGTCCTACCAGGGTGAGACTACCCCCCCCCCTTCCATCACTGCCTCTGTCTCTTTATCTATTAAGTGATGTCCCTCAGGTCATACCTAAAATATATCCCATTATAATTATGAAACATTTTCTGCTTGCAGCAAAAACACCATTCAGTTCTCCATTTCTTTTTCAGACAATAACTTTGACATCCCAGATCGAACATTTCATAGTATGGAGACAGCATGGCGACTGGCCAGTTACGAGTCAACTACAGATGTCAAAGAGCTCATTCCTGAATTTTTCTTTCAACCCCTTTTCTTGAAGAATACTGAAGGTAAATGGAGGGAATGGTGTATTGGTGTGGATTGCGATTAAGCAAATGATTTGAGAAAATAATTTTAAAAATTGCATGTTAAATGAAGAAAGCATTAACCCTTAGCTTACATTATTATTATATATACACTACTCTGAATATGCTGTTTCTTTTTATAATCTGCAAAGCATTATTTGTTTCGTAATTCGTATCTTCCACAGGGTTTAACTTTGGAAAACGACAAAATGGTCTGAGAGTTTGGGACGTGAACCTCCCACCTTGGTGTGGGGGTGATCCACGGTTGTTCATTTTGGTCCAACGTCAGGCATTGGAGTCTGCCCACGTCACCCAGATGCTACCCCATTGGATTGACCTGGTGTTTGGCTATAAACAGCAGGGCAAGGCTGCAGTCGAGGCCATCAATATGTTCCACCCTGCAGTAAGTACAGCCAGACAGCTACAGAGTGGTCTTGTTGTAGTAGTAGAATATAGTTCAGCAGAAGGAATGGGAATGTATTTCCCAATGTCAAAATATTATATTCTGTTACATTGTAATTCTATTTATTGTTGTAATATGTTATACCTATATATTGGCTGTGAAGGGGCATATCACACCCACTGACTATTGGATGTAGCTCTCTTGATTAATGAATATGGCTTCCTTTTGAAATTATAAACCAAATAGATAACCAAAAAGAAAATGAATTATTGACTTAACTATTTCTGTATTGCATTAACCAAATTGATTTTAAAATATGTTTTTGTTTGTTTGTAGACTTACTTTGGCGTGAATGTTGATGACATTGCAGACCCTGTAAGGCGCAATGCCATTAGGACCATGGTGAAGACATATGGTCAGACACCTAAACAATTGTTCACCTCTGCTCATCCCACTCCTGTGCCTGCATTGGGTGATCCTGTCCCCAACAAGGTAATATTATAATCCATTCTCTGTCATTGTATTACTATTTATATATTGTGTTGACACTGATCAGTTCATTCATGCAATATTTCATTTATCTTTATATCCCCAATATTTCAGGAGTCATCTTCACATGCAAGTTTATCCCATGCTGAAAGTACAAGAGCCAGCCATAGCCAGAGGCCACCTGTACACAATGTGGAAGGACTCCAATGGGGTAGATTCGTAGGCTCCCCCAGGTGTAAAACACCTGTGGTATCATGGCAGAAGACCTACCCTACCCCCATGTCTACACTTGTGGCCCTACATACAGGGGAAGTGTTTGGCCTTGGTGAAAATTGTACGCTGTTAGATATATACAGTAAAGAGACTGGTAAGGAATTATATTAAAGACAAAAAATCATATCACGTTTTAAATCATATCTCTATATCTTTAAATTAAATAATTTTATGAAAGAAAAGGTATTACAAGAGGAATGTGCAATAAATATTGAGTCACATAAAAATTGAAATTGCAGTATTTCAAACAATTCATGAAAACTTACACCTCCCCTTATGTTGTTATATATGTGTCATGTATCTCACTAATACTCCAGGTGTGAGGTCAATCAGTAACAAAGATGTCAAGTGGGCAGGCATCATTAGCTGGAAGCACCCAGATAGCATCATTCGTATCAAGAACCACTCAAATCTGCCTCCTGTTAACTTCTTACACTGGGACCTTGACACACAGGTATATATAACAACCGTAATAGTACAATACAGTGCAGTGCTGTGCTGTGCAGTGTAGTGCTGTGCTGTGCAGTGTAGTGCTGTGCAGTGTAGTGCTGTGCTGTGCAGTGCAAATATTTCATTCTGTTGAAGCGAATACCAACATGCATCTTGAAATCTGGAATATCATCTTGCCACAGGTATTCACCATAACTATATAGAATGGAGTATTTGTTGTTTTATTATATTCACCAGGTATCTCATTTGATAAACGTGACTAGTGATTATCGCTAGGATTCTTTCATGTCACTCAACAATATTTGAACAATCATACAAAAACATTTGTACAATTCAATTTTGTTGAGTTCAACATGTGTTAATATAAAGCAAATATATTAAAGTCACTTCCTCCAAAACCCCATTGAATTCCCATATGTTCTCATCCATTGAAATGTGTGCTTAGGTGACTTGCTGTGGCTGTGCATCGGACTGTAGGAGATTGTTCTTTGGCTGCCAGTCTGGTGTTATTGTCATTTACACGACTGTCTTCAACCCAAGCAAGGTAATTTATGGGGAGGGAATTTATTATCATTCTGCCAGTTTATGAAGCCATAAAAATGGATGAAGAACATGTTTTGATTTAAAAGTATGCTACAGTTTCCAATGTGTTTTCTCAAAACAATATCTAAAAAAGTCGATGAATAATTTTCGATTAAGTTGTAACTATTCAAAAGATGACCACTACATTGATGATGATTTTTCAGAATTTTTGACGACTGGTTTAAGAGAAAAATGTGTTAGTTGACAGACAGCATATCGCTACAAATCCTTTCATATTCCATCAGCACTTGAAGGGTCTTATGTTAGCTTTAAATAACATGTCATATCTATTGAGTATACATGCTGTTAATAAACACAAGACTCTGATGCATAACACTCTCTTGCAGCAATGTGACATCCAAGTTATCGGCCCAAGGCTGTATCTCTATGGTCACTCTGCAGCAGTCACCCAATTAAAGATCTGTAAACCCTATAGCATTCTGGTCAGTGCAAGTCAAGATGGGACTTGTATCATATGGGATCTTAATAGGTATGTAAGTTTGAAATCAGCTAAGCATGTAAGCTGTTTGGATGAGATATATATGGGACATAGGTACTGTAGCCTACTCAACTCTTAAATCAGGAAATAGAGAAATTATATACAGTTGTTTCACAGGTCTCACATTAAATAAAAATTATTTATTTCAGGTTGAGTTATGTGAGAGACATCAGAAGCCATCATAATGCTGTAGATGAGCTTGCTCTCAGTGACACTCTTGGAGATATTGCCTCTGTCAGTCGTCATGGTATGTAGTAATTCAACCATAATGATTAGTGATATTCTTAGAGATATTGCCTCCACCAGTCCTCATGGTATGTTATGATTGGACCATAATGATTAGTGATATTCTTAGAGATATTGCCTCTGTCAGTCGTCATGGTATGTTATGATTGGACCATAATGATTAGTGATATTCTTAGAGATATTTCCTCTGTCAGTCCTCATGGTATGTTATGATTGGACCATAATGATTAGTGATACTTTTGGAGATATTGCCTCTGTCAGTCGTCATGGTATGTAGTAATTGGACCATAATGATTAGTGATACTTTTGGAGATATTGCCTCTGTCAGTCATCATGGTATGTAGTAATTGGACCATAATGATTAGTGATACTTTTGGAGATATTGCCTCTGTCAGTCATCATGGTATGTAGTAATTGGACCATTATGATTAGTGATACTCTCGGAGATATTGCCTCTGTCAGTCATCATGGTATGTAGTAATTGGACCATAATGATTAGTGATACTTTTGGAGATATTGCCTCTGCCAGTCATCATGGTATGTAGTAATTGGACCATAATGATTAGTGATACTTTTGGAGATATTGCCTCTGTCAGTCGTCATGGTATGTAGTAATTGGACCATAATGATTAGTGATACTCTTAGAGATATTGCCTCCGCCAGTCATCATGGTATGTTATGATTGGACCATAATGATTAGTGATATTCTTAGAGATATTGCCTCTGTCAGTCCCCATGGTATGTTATGATTGGACCATAAGGATTAGTGATATTCTTAGAGATATTGCCTCCACCAGTCCTCATGGTATGTTATGATTGGACCATAATGATTAGTGATATTCTTAGAGATATTGCCTCCACCAGTCCTTATGGTATGTTATGATTGGACCATAATGATTAGTGATATTCTTAGAGATATTGCCTCCACCAGTCCTCATGGTATGTTATGATTGGACCATAATGATTAGTGATATTCTTAGAGATATTGCCTCCACCAGTCCTCATGGTAAGTTATGATTGGACCATAATGATTAGTGATACTCTTAGAGATATTGCCTCTGCCAGTCATCATGGTATGTTATGATTGGACCATAATGATTAGTGATACTCTTGGAGATATTGCCTCGGTCAGTCATCATGGTATGTAGTAATTGGACCATAATGATTAGTGATACTTTTGGAGATATTGCCTCCACCAGTCCTCATGGTATGTTATGATTGGACCATAATGATTAGTGATATTCTTAGAGATATTGCCTCCACCAGTCCTCATGGTATGTTATGATTGGACCATAATGATTAGTGATATTCTTAGAGATATTGCCTCCACCAGTCCTCATGGTATGTTATGATTGGACCATAATGATTAGTGATATTCTTAGAGATATTGCCTCCACCAGTCCTCATGGTATGTTATGATTGGACCATAATGATTAGTGATATTCTTAGAGATATTGCCTCCACCAGTCCTCATGGTATGTTATGATTGGACCATAATGATTAGTGATATTCTTAGAGATATTGCTTCCACCAGTCCTCATGGTATGTTATGATTGGACCATAATGATTAGTGATATTCTTAGAGATATTGCCTCTAACAGTCCTCATGGTATGTTATGATTGGACCATCATGATTAGTGATATTCTTAGAGATATTGCCTCTAACAGTCCTCATGGTATGTTATGATTGGACCATAATGATTAGTGATATTCTTAGAGATATTGCCTCCACCAGTCCTCATGGTATGTTATGATTGGACCATAATGATTAGTGATATTCTTAGAGATATTGCCTCTGTCAGTCCCCATGGTATGTTATGATTGGACCATAAGGATTAGTGATATTCTTAGAGATATTGCCTCCACCAGTCCTCATGGTATGTTATGATTGGACCATAATGATTAGTGATATTCTTAGAGATATTGCCTCCACCAGTCCTTATGGTATGTTATGATTGGACCATAATGATTAGTGATATTCTTAGAGATATTGCCTCCACCAGTCCTCATGGTATGTTATGATTGGACCATAATGATTAGTGATATTCTTAGAGATATTGCCTCCACCAGTCCTCATGGTATGTTATGATTGGACCATAATGATTAGTGATACTCTTAGAGATATTGCCTCTGCCAGTCATCATGGTATGTTATGATTGGACCATAATGATTAGTGATACTCTTGGAGATATTGCCTCTGCCAGTCATCATGGTATGTAGTAATTGGACCATAATGATTAGTGATACTTTTGGAGATATTGCCTCTGCCAGTCATCATGGTATGTAGTAATTGGACCATAATGATTAGTGATACTCTTAGAGATATTGCCTCCACCAGTCTTCATGGTATGTTATGATTGGACCATAATGATTAGTGGTTTTTATGTGAGAAGTAAAGCCCCACCACATTCTAATACTAGTACTGAACCCATATTACATTATTCATATACATGCTTCTGATCATCCTCCGATCACAGGGCTTCAAAATCCAGAATATCTTCTTTCTTTTTACCCCCTGCTATAACCAAGTTGGACGCGCCGATTAAACTGAATCACGTGATCTTATTATGCGCCGATGACGAATACATGATTTCTGTCGCAGTGATGCGACAGCCAATCAAATTGCGAGTTCTTAATCGGGGAAATGCTAACTGCTTATAGCAGGGGGAAGAAGGAGGTACGGATTCTGGACACCTGCTTAGGAGGATGGCTTCTGATTGATAGCACATTTTTACAGGAAATGGGAGTTGTCTGCAGTTACACACTGTGAATGCTGAACATGTGAACACAACATACACGGAACAAAAAATCATCTGTCTCTGTTATTCCAACCTGGATGAAGGTCGATCAATGAATGTCATTGCTGGGGGATTGTCCGATGGCTCTGTTGTATTATGGCATAGCTGGAACTTGTCGAAGATACGCAGAATCCATGTCAGCTCTCTAACTAGCAGTATAACCAGGTATATATTCATTCAACTTATAATTGACCTACCGTAAAGCCTCTCTATTAGTGTCTTATCTGAATGCTGTTGGGACTGGCCAAAACTGTGTGTTCATATTGACAAGAGTTCACATGAGAGAAGGTGTTTGGTGTACTCCTTGCTTTCCATAATTTTTATCGTTAGAATATTGTGCTTGCATGTTTATAATCAGATTTCTATCTATTTTCAGTTTGACATTTTCTCAAGATTGCCAGAGACTGTTTGTGACCAACAGCATGGGTACTGTATTTATGTGGGAACTACCCACCTCTGGTAGGCCAAAGCCACCTAACTTCATATCATTCACATAGACTACTATTCATCAAAGAAGGATTTGCCCCATAAACCTATGCTAGGCCTAAATAGTGTTATGATGCTGAAGGATTGAGTGTAAAGTAAAATACACTATAATCTATCAATCACTGCCAGAGAAAACCTATATAAACCTATCCCATTAACATATTCTGAGGGAGGATTGACTCCCATAATCCTCTCTATCAAGTTCAAACTTTTTGTCAGAGCAGGTTAATGTAAACAGGATAAAGTTATCATGATTACTTACCTCTGGTAGAGAAAAATCACCAAGTTTTCATTCCCATTAAGCTGTGTAAGATATAATGTCAAAGAAGTATTTCTCTCATGGTCCTCAAATAGCCAGGGATTATGATATTGAATTCTGGAAACTATCAGTCTTTGTAGACTAATAGTTCAGTGCAGTAAGAAACAAAAGCTGACTTACTTGCAGGAATGATGACAACTTCGGAAATAGGAAGACTTCACATGTTCATGTAAAATCTCCGTCGAAGACTCTTTTCGAGATGGAAACTGAATTCAAAATGGTTGCCACTTTTCATGAAAATGTATTTTGAGAGCTTTAAATACTGGACATTGTTATAATATTTTGATCAAGTACACCTTTCCCTTCTGGTAGGTTTTCAATCTTTACTTTTTCACGACACCATTCTTTCTGAACATCTACTTCTATAACTGGGAAAGATGATCCATTGATACATAAAGCACCGATTTGTTGGAGGAAGCCTTGACCAGGTTTCTCAACATTCTTCAATCTGCAGCTTTAATGCAGCGTGTTGTACACCCCCCCCCCCCCCTTGCAAAATGTCTTTACATTACCATAGAGTTTTGACAACACAATAAAATATTAATAAAAAGAGAATGTTAAAGTGTAATTCTGGCAGCATTAACTTAAAATGATGAAGACACTTGATTGCTTGGATTTTATTTACTTAAACTGAGGAAGACACTTGTTCATAAAGGGGTCAAGCCCTTAATGTAGAGGGTGAAAGCAAGGTGAATATAAACCTCATTAATGTTGAGGGTGAAAGCAAGGTGAATGTAAACCTCATTAATGTTGAGGGTGAGGTGAATATAAACCTCATTAATGTTGAGGGTGAAAGCAAGGTGAATGTAAACCTCATTAGTGTTGAGGGTGAGGTGAATATAAACCTCATTAATGTTGAGGGTGAAAGCAAGGTGAATGTAAACCTCATTAGTGTTGAGGGTGAGGTGAATATAAACCTCATTAATGTTGAGGGTGAAAGCAAGGTGAATGTAAACCTCATTAGTGTTGAGGGTGAGGTGAATATAAACCTCATTAATGTTGAGGGTGAAAGCAAGGTGAATGTAAACCTCATTAGTGTTGAGGGTGAGGTGAATATAAACCTCATTAATGTTGAGGGTGAAAGCAAGGTGAATGTAAACCTCATTAATGTTGAGGGTGAGGTGAATGTAAACCTCATGAAGAGGCACTTCTGTTTTATTTAGCATGAATACAATATTTTAACAATTATCTCTACTACAATGTGTGTATAACACAAGTTATGAATGTAACAGATAAAGATGTAGACCCACTAATCTTTCATTTAATTGCTTTTGAGAGTAACCAGTCTGTATCTTCATATTAATGATTTATAATTTATATATCAATGTCTTAAGGAAGACAGCTCGTTGGAAAGTGTTCAAACCTAACGTGAAGAGGTGGTGACATAGTGTTATTATAAAAGTATTTCTGTTTTTGAATTTATAAATTATAATGCACACAAATATTGAAAAATGTACTTAAAATAAATATCTGTGCAGCTCTACTTTTATATCATTTTAAACATATATCCACAACTGCAGTAGCAATAGTGAGCATCATAATGTAAAATTTATTTGCTAAAACAGTCAGAGTAAAAAGAACAAAAGTATACCAGAGGTTTGTATAAAGTGACCCAGTTAGGTGAGAATATATTTTGTGTTTTTAAAAGTAGTTAAAATGTATCTAAAACTGTGGTCAAATAATAGGCAAATCTCTGGTACACTGTATGAATTTGTATATTTATTGTAGAGTAGTATAGAATGTAGTTTATTTTAATATTGCTAAATCAGTCAGAATCATGTTCCATTTATTTGCAGAGGAGTCTATTTAGTAAATGATTTTCCCCCAAAGTTATGTGTATTTTACATCCAATGATGGTTTTCTTATCATTACTTTTTGCATGAATTTGTAACTGCATTTTAATGTAATTTGTTGACAATAATAAATATATCCATATTAGAAGCAATACATGTAAAGTAGTTGCAATAAATGAACAACTGGAACACTAATAAATTATTGTGTTATGATTTATTAATCTACGATATATAGGATTTTACAGTATGCTGTCCATTTCTCCATCCTACATAGTAGCAAGCATATAAAATCTTTGGAGTCCTGTAATCAGAGGATCTTGTCTTTTCATAGACATGTAAAACATGAAAATACTGTTTTATCACAAATATAGGGCAGATCCAATTTAGCGCTCTCTCTCCCAAACAACAAGGGCAGATCCATCATGTTCCATATTATTATTATTATCATCAAGATCTTTAGTCTTATAAAGTCGTCTCTCTCATCTATTTTTCATTTATTTTACGAGAGGTCCATTTCAATTGACTCTTGCCAACAATGGTCACTCATACCCATGCAAATATTGTGCATGTACACTTCTTAAAATATTTCTTAAGTCAGGAACTTTTAAGAAAATAAACATGATGAGAGCAATGCGTTATTTCTGTATTATGACACTCCCTTTTAGTCATAAAGATTTATTGAAATGGAACAGATAAGAGCTCATTACAACAAAGCAAACATGTTCAATACAATACAGAGCCAACATGTCCGATACAATACAGAGCCAACATGTCCGATACAATACAGAGCCAACATGTCCGATACAATACAGAGCCAACATGTCCGATACAATACAGAGCCAACATGTCCGATACAATACAGAGCCAACATGTCCGATACAATACAGAGCCAACATATCCGATACAATACAGAGCCAACATGTCCGATACAATACAGAGCCAACATGTCCGATACAATACAGAGCCAACATGTCCGATACAATACATGCATTTTCCAATAAATACTTGATAATTTCCATTTAGGTTCATCTAATTTTGTGCATTCTCTATAAATGCTACATGGATATGATGTCATAATACATGTACATGTTTGTGTCATCATCATTGGAGCCCATGGGTCATTAAATAAGTCTACTAATATAATCACCCATTGGTTAATAATCCCAAGAAGCACCATGGTCTGAGATGGTCACCAATACTCATATTCCCAATTTAATCTCATCAATTTTTAGAATATCAGAGTAGTACATGCACTCCCAGAATGCAACAAAGCAGAATATCCACTCCAAGTATACAACTGTCTCTAGTCTGGTTGGGTCGGGGGTGCAGACTTTTGTTTCCTGCTCAATGGGTTAAAACTCATGGTCGACTTTGCTGGAGGCTGGTTCATTTTGGTGGTGAGCCACACAAAGGCATCCATCATAGACTGCCTTTTAGCACACGAGATCTCCCATAGTTTCACTGGAATGATATACGAAGAGTAAGCTAAAGATAATCATAGACTGCCTTTTAGCACATGAGATCTCCAATAGTTTCACTGGAATGATATATGAAGAGTAAGCAAAAGATAATCATAGACTGCCTTTTAGCGCATGAGATCTCCCATAGTTTCACTGGAATGATATACGAAGAGTAAGCTAAAGATAATCATAGACTGCCTTTTAGCACACGAGATCTCCCATAGTTTCACTGGAATGATATATGAAGAGTAAGCAAAAGATAATCATAGACTGCCTTTTAGAACATGAGATCTCCCATAGTTTTACTGGAATGATATACGAAGAGTAAGCAAAAGATAATCATAGACTGCCTTTTAGCACATGAGATCTCCCATAGTTTCACTGGAATGATATACGAAGAGTAAGCAAAAGATAATGAGTTGAAAACTTGGAATGCAGGCCTCCTAGACCTCCACTCCAGCAAACTTCAGTTCCAACTTCATGAACTATGTTCCTATATATAAACTAAAAATAATATATATACAAATATAAATGTACCTTTCTCTTTCTGTGCCCAAGTCTGAGCAGTTGCAAAGTCTACTTGTCTGCTCTCCTTCAAGTCACATTTGTTCCCAAGGGCTATAATGACTAGCTGAAACATATAGAGGTTCTCAGGAGTTATTGTAGTCATCTTTCACATTTAAAATAAATACATGTATATGTACAGGGTGTCCCTACAGTATTGGACCCCCCTAGATGGACATAAACCAGTGTCTCCGTAGTATGTGTCATATATCATTTTAAAGCTTATCCAAAGTTACATTGATTTGTTAAGTGTCATGGTTCAACTCACAAATGATAAAAAGTTACAGGCATTTCAAAGCTTAGTGTTTGGCCAAATATATAGTACATTTCAGTACCCTGGAAATATGGGTGCTATTGTTGAAGATAGGATGGATATTGAGTTCTAAAAAGAGGGCATTGAGGGTAGATACTCCAAGGAAACTCTTCTAAAATGCCTTAAAACAGTTTTATGAGGATTACAAAATGCCATATCCCTATTTCAAGTTTAAAAGGTCATATTTGGAAAGCATTGCTGCTGCATGGCCTAGGGAGCCACACGGACTATTATTTTGACTGACTTAAATTTTGGAATGCCTGTAACTTTCTCCCATTTGTGAGTTGAACCATGATACTTGGCAAATCATTGGAAACTTTGGATGAGCATTAAAATTATGTATTACACATGCTATGGAGATATTGGCATATGTCTGCCTAGGGGGGGGCTATACTTTTGGGACACCCTGACAATATCATTATTATGAAAATTGCAAAGCCAACTCAAAGAATCATTCTTGATAAATATTTCACACAGTATAGCATCTGAAAATGTCTACTTACTGAAGGATGACATGCCTATTACATTTCATAAATGATTGTAGAAATTCACTCATGAATGTATACTTACATCACGTTTTTCTTTATTTTTGTCAATATCTTTTTTCAATTTATCTATTGCAGCAAAGGAGTCCCAGTTTGTGACATCATACAACAATATGACACCCTGCAAAAATCATATATATTATTTTTCGTGCCTTAAAAATATGACAAATACAAGTAAAAACTATTAAATATGTTGAATTAATTCACCATTAATATACAAGTATATACAGAATTGGTTCATACAGAAATGGCATTGATTTGGTGGGCTCACTCACATGGTGAAAAAATCTGATTTCTTCAAATAATACAAAAATATTTGTCAAAACCAATGGTGCAAATTACACCAATTAAAATGGATATGAGCATTGATTGGTTCAGAATCAGAGCAATGACAGTTTTTGTTTGTCTTAAAATTGTTGATGGAAGGTCAGCGGACAGAAAAGTGGGCAATTTCATAGGTTCACACAATGTTAGCCACAAATTACTGTATTACATGTACATACATCAATGCAGGAGAAGTAGTGTCTGGGAAGGTCAGGTTTCTGGGGGTCACAGCCTGCTGTGTCATAGAATCGCACCTTCTCTCGTCCTCGTTCTGTGTCCACATATGCAACATAAGTATCCTCAATTGTAGAAAACATTGGCTGTAAGAAAGAACAATTTTCATCTAACAATCTTAAAAAAACACAAAATCATTGACTTCTTTTTTATTTTCGTTTTATATGACCATGGGCTTTCAATCTATTGAATGCCCATGATATGCCATATACATATGTTTCTATTTATATGTGTTAAGTTTCCAAAATCACAAATATGCTTGTCATGGGGCCTCCATTAATGAGACTGTGTAAAGCACATCCTTTCTGAGAGAAAAGCACTTAAGTCTTCTTTTTAATTGTACAGCATTTTCTCAAGACACTGCATTCAGTTTAAACAGTCATTGACGAAAAGAAAAAGACCGTGTGCAGTATGGCAAGTGATTTTAGACAGTCATATCTTTCACCATGAGTACTTTCTGGCCATAAATACAGTGGCTTTTATTAAAACAATATGTTTTCTTTCTTGAAAGATATGACCGTCTAAAATCACTTGCCATACTGCACGTGGTCTTTTCAAATTTTACCCATAGAAATGACTAAAAGTGACTAAAGGACTGGTGAGCATTGCCATGCTTCCCTTTTTTGGTAATATTTCACAAAGATTTAGATTAATGTATATGTTTATAGTATTATCTCGAAGAAAAGTCAATTTTGAACATGATTAAAATTTGAGACATGATAAATCTCATTTGAAAGTAAAGAAAAAGACCAATTAGGGAAAGAGGAATCAAAATGTTCTCTTCAAGTCTTGCAGTGTGGGCACTAATTCATGAACACATTCCAATAAAAATTAAATTCGGGGGAGAATGTTCACTTTAATAATTGCCATAATTATGATGAATTCTATTTTGTATTAAATTATCAATGTGTATGCAGAATTGCAGATAATCATGTTTTTATTTCTGTTTTTTATCCTTGGAATATGTACAGGAAGCATTTTTTCTTCAATTTTGAAAACACAAGACAATGCTTATGTTTGGAATAATGGAAGTTGCCTACCCTTCTACTGAAAGGCCATGGTTAAATGTTTCATTTCAAAAATTGATAGAAAATAACCAAAACAACAATTAGTACTAAAAAACAAAATAGATTACTAAAACAAAACACAAAAATCTATATAAATATTTTTCAAACTGAATCGTTGACATGATTACCATTAAATTGAGGTTGTTTATTCTCAGATTTGTTTCACGAATTCAGATGCCCATGACACCATTCAATAGTACTAGTTAATAATAATGCCTGCTTGAATACTTACAGTTGAAATGATGTGGTTTCCATATATGAACTGTTCTAGGAGCGCTGTTTTCCCAGAAGCTGCAAGGCCCACGACAACCACTTTGCCTGTCTTCCCCATAGCAACCAGCAGTATACCTGACTAATATACCTGAAACAATTTAGATAATTTTCAAATGTTTCTAAACATACAGACTCTGATGTAAGACAAAAACAAGGTAGCAATGTGTATGAGTCACTGAGGTGATCCTGGCCTACATTAGATTCTAGCCCTTTTGAACCTCTATGGGGATTATCTGGGTATCCTCATATATAGTAATGCAGGATTCTCACCAGAAATTAGTTAGAACCTGGAGAAAAATCGCCATTCACATCACTAAACCCCCCCCCCCTTACTCTAAAAGCCTAGTGAGAACACTGGTAACGTTATACTCCCTTGCCCAAAGAATGGGGTTGATCTCCCCCACAACTAATTGTGTATTGTGTATTGAAAACTTTAAGTTGAAAATAAGCTGAATGTCTATGTCTATGTCAATAATCTTCAAAAGGCTAATTAGCCCATATAAAGCAGATATATAATTTAACAGTGATAGAACTTGAATAGAATATAATTTAAAACCTTAACATTTAAAAATAGATCTATGGTTTACAACTCATTTTAAAATTGAAAGGAACCTTCCTGGTTGGCCCCTGTACCCCCCTAGGAAGTCCCTTTATGTTGAAATACCCTGGGGCGACTGTCAGGCTACCGCATTGACATCACCCCTCTTTGCCAGTAGTGCAGGCTTGTTGCTGTGCACTGGGGACCTTTTACATTAAAACATAGATCTATATTAAAAACACACCTATTTAATTGCAGTTATTGACATAGGCATAGTATGATGATTTAAAACTACTTAGACTGTCACAGTCTAAGATGTCACCAGGTAGAGTGTTCCATTTAGCTATTGTCCTAGGGAAATAGCTAAATTTGTATGCATCCGTTCTAGTTGATGGTTGTATGAACTTAGAAGGATGATACAACCTAGTGTTGGTATTGATCTGTTGGCGGAAGTATGGAGGCACGTCGATGGCTGCTAGGTTCTGCTTTCCTTTGTAGAAGAGGAAAACTCTAGCAGCCTCTCGACGCTCCTTCAGTGGCTCCCACTGTAGGTCTTGAAGAGCTTTGGTGACGCAGCCTGGTTCCCTCGAGTGACATTTGGTTACAAACCTAGCTGCTCTTCTCTGTACCTGTTCCAACATATCAATATCCTTTTGTCGGTATGGATCCCATGCCGAGCTGGCATACTCTAAATTAGGCCGGACTAGTGACTTGTACGCCTGAGCCTTCACTTTTTCAGGGCATTGATGGAGGTTGCGCAAGAGGAATCCAAGCACCTTATTGGCTTTGGATACAATAGTTTGAATATGTGTAGTCCAGCGTAAGTTATTTGTGATGTCAATACCTAGGTATGGGATGTGTGTTACCAACTTAAGGTTTTCCCCTAGCATGGTGTAATTGTGAATGATAGGGGATTTACCTTTGTGAATATTTAGCACATAGCATTTTGATGGATGGAATTTCATTTGCCATGTTGATGCCCAGGAGACCAGTTTATCAAGATTCTCCTGTAGTGTTAATGCATCTTGCTTGGTTTCGACTGTCATGAATAAAAGGCTGTCGTCAGCAAATAGTGGTGAATGAGTGGTCTCTAGATAAAATTCATTTTTACGTCAACTACTGGCAATGTTTTTTTAAAAGTCAGATCCACATTTATGGGGGTACCTGTGACATGATAAGCTTTTTGTTTCCGCATTTAAAAGGCTGACTGATCTGAAATTACAGCCTTTGTTTGCCCCTTATTACTCAGAATCATATCAGCTTAAACTGAAAAACTGAAATCAGTTGCTTACTTTACATGTTTGGCTGAGTTCCACAATTTACATAGTACGAGGGATGGCATAGAACATACTGGTAAGTAGATAACGTGATTACATCACATCATTTCGTTATTTTAACCATATGAACTATGTCCCAGAATAAAAAAAATGAGTGTAATTAGCTGATTTCAAAAAGCTCTGTAAGGTCCAAAAAGGACTTGATACAACTTCCTGATATGGTATATGACGAGTGATGAATCTCTGACGTATATGGACTAGATCTAATAATAATAATATAATTAGTCTACAGGGGCGTAGCCAGGATTTTTGGGCTTATTTGGCGCATTCTGAGCGATTCTAGGTGCTATTCTACGGTTATAAGCGGTAATAAACTCTGATCACTTGTTTGACAATTAAAAACATAACACTATAACAACACTATTGGATTAAATATATGATTTATTTCAATTTACACTTTTGGTTTTTGACTCTCAGTAGTACGCGGCTGCGTATTCTGGGTACATGTGGCTACGCCCCTGGTCTAATATATGGAGACTCTGACATAAGCATCTCAATCATAGCGATACAAGTTTCTTTGAGAAAGAACTTCAGAACGAATGATTTAGATTGAGATGTTTTCAGGCTAAATAAAATTGAGTGAATATTTTACTGGTCTTATTATGACAATTGCGTGTCATTTACAAATTAATATATTAAATTAATATTTGGGTGTTGTAAATTTAATGTTTAAAATCAAATAAAATGGTATTTAGACAGTAATTTACCTCCAAATATAGTAATATCATCGCACCACCAATCTACTTTTATTTGGTAAAGTATTTTCTTCAGTAGAACTTCGGTAAAACAAAATTCGCTAAAGCGAGTTGATCTTATTTCGTTCCGTGCATAGCTGTAATGTTTGTGCTGAAGACCCGGGATTGGAAATAAACTGCATTTTGTTATCATATGAGATCCAAAAACTAGTTGCCGAGACAGAACAAGTCATCCATCTCTGATTTAATCATCAGATTACACGATACAGTCATTTACTGATTAAGCTTACTACATAGCAGAATAATTCTCAATACTTTTCCATGAAATTTTCACTGAATAAATATATATATACAGTACTATTTCACTGAAAATATTTAAAGCATTCTATCTGTAACAAACAGTGAATAATATGTTTAACTCTGAAAAATATTTGATAGCTTTTCAAAAGTGAAGGCCTAATTCTGATAAGATACCAATTTGTCGTCTCGTCTGAAAATGATGAATGATCTCTTTCTTTCTTTGACTTTCATGACTTTTCAGCATCTAACACAAATGTAACAGTCTCATTTGTTACCTAGCATTTTAACACAGCGTCTTTGAATTGACCTTATTTAAATCTGTCTCAGTTTAAATTCAACTCAAAATCAATAACTCCATTTTCAACAAACGGAAAATCGAAAATCTGCATTAAAAGTCTTCTACTGTAACCTATACGCGGTGTCAATCGGCTTAACACATCATATTAAGAGAGATGCGTACACTCTCGCCTTGTAAGCTTTCTAAACAAATTTGAAATACTTTATAAAAACCAATTTGGTTTCCAGAAGAAAAAGTCTACATACATGCCACTTCTAACTTTTATTGAAAAGATAAGATGTGCAAATGAAAGCAAAATTCCTTCACTAGGGATATCATTAGACTTCTCAAAAGCATTTGACACTATTGATCATAATATATTATTAGATAAACTCTCACACTACGGAATGCGCGGTGTTACCCTTTCTTGTAGTGTGTGCCAAAACCCCAGAAAATCACAAAAACCTATGTTGTGGTAGCTTACTATGAAGTGACCCATTCTCATTATAGATTGGTCCATCAACTATTCATTTTTACTTGTCTGCACTCAAAAAGGTGACACGAATGGGCTAAACGGCTTGCCACAAGGTGCAACCATCAAAAAGATGAGTTTGATAAAAAATTATTTTTTTCAAATAATAGCAATGGGTATACAATATAGGAGGTAAATTTGATATTGATAAGTATAATAGTCCATTTGCGTGTGGCCATTTTTATAAAAAACAATAATTGTGAAGAATTATATATTTCCTACCTGAAAATACTATCTTAATTCAAAAGTCATGGTTGTTAATGATAATATTCCTATTTCACCTATTCAATGTTTTCAAAATATTTTAATTACCATTATATTCATTTTTGGCCAAGTAAATAAATATAGGGCTCACACAGGGATCAACTTTATTTGCAATATTTTCATATTTAGTGATGTTTTGAAAAAATATAAGGTTAAACACAATTTTATTTGTTAAATGTTTAACAAAATAAACATAGTGTGTTTATTTCATTGTTTCAACTGAAAAATCGCAATTCATTGCTCTTCGTCTTAGAACGGCAAGGGATATACAAGTACGTAAACAGTCTTAAAAAACTTTGATCCTTGTGTAAGCCCTACACTTATTTACTTTGCCAGAAACTGATATAATGGTTATTCGTCAGTATGAAAATCATTTCAAAGGTAAACTAGGAAGAATGTCATTGAACTTGGAATAAAAAGCATTATATGGTTAGAAATACCCAATTTTTTACCATAATTGTTTTTAATAATATAACCATACACTAATGGACTATCTTTACATTTCAATAACCAATGTGTATAATATTTTGCATGTTTTACTGCAATCATTTGTAAAAATATTTTTAAATCTTACATTTTTGACTGGAAAGTGAAGAGACAATGCTCAAATATACTCATATTATTGGTCACATTTGGTTATTTCACCCAAACAGATTCGGGATTTTTTAGTCCAGGCATATGAAGAAACTAGTGTGAGTTAAATGGTCATATTATTTGTTGTTTGATTTAGCTAAACATAATATGTTGAACCTGCTTTGGCCATTAAACTTTAAATTTGCTTTAAATTTAGATTTTGTGAAACACATCCGCTTACTGATCCAATTCAGAACTACTGGAGAAAGTAACTCTCGTGAAAAACTTGGTCAACGTGACTGTTGATTACTGATTGCACTAGTGATTAAACTAATGACCTCATATTTGGATAACCTCTCTTCTGATATGATTTTACAATTCACTTCAAATTGGCAAAGGACCAGATATAGTATGGCAAATGATATCTGACGGTCATATATTTTACCATGACTACTTTCTCAATATAAATATGACATTTCTCAAAAACACAATATGTTATCTTTCAAGAAAATTCAATTCTCAATGATTATAAAAATATCATTCGAACAATCTAAAAAACTATGAATGGGGAACCCATCTCAACATTTTTTGAAATTATCTACTCAACAGAGGTTCTTCTTTTTTATTTGAATTGCATGAAAATATTATTCAACAAGTGGTCTAAAACTTTTTCATTAGAAGAATTGTAATGAAAGTCTAGTTTTGGAGATTTCAATTTTCAATGACCAAAATTATGCTGAAAACAATGGATAGTTTGACTTTTTCCAATGGAAAATAACATGGAATTTGTGGTTTTTAACTTTATCGCATTTCAATACCCGTCCCCTTTTCAGAACTTGTTAATTCATTAGCGTAGAAGAACTTTTGATATATTCAAATTCAGAAAAAATACTTTAGAAAATAAGCCTAATATTTTTCAAAAAGTGACAAGGTGGGGATTTTATCAATAATATTTCAGATATATTTTCATGTATTTATATTTTTAATTTCAATTTATTCATACATTCAAGCATTATGTTTACGAATATTATTAATAACAGGTGGCACTACAGGTGATGCTTATACCCGTACGTATAGTAGTAAAATCATGTAGTGTATCACTAAGTTGTCAAGGAATCAAACCAGAATGAAATCATAAAAACTAAGTTGAAAAATAAAGGTTGAGGGGGATTCATGATGTTTTTTCTTTTCACGTGAAGTAGTTGGATGATATCATTTTTATCATAGGGACTTAACATAAGAAAAATCATATTGTTTTCACAAAAACACGTTCAGCCCCAAAATGCCAAATACTAATTAGATATTGAGCTATGACCTTGAAATGATCTTGATCAATAGACACTGACATATGGATCTCTGGTCACTTTATCATTGGTCATTAAATAGGACTGTAGCCCCACAGTTGCCAACTACCAAGATATTGACTTTGACCTTAAAATGACCTTGACACCAGGTCACCTAATCATTGGTCGCCAAAGGTCACAATTGTTCTCAATTGCCTTTAAACTCCAAATTGCCCCCCCCCCTTGAGTGGGCCCAAAAAAAAAATTGGGCCAAAAAAGGCATTTAGGCCCCAAAAAGTGGGCCTTTTTGGTCATTACTGGGCCTTTTAAGGCCTTATTTTCTAATTTCAGGTCAAATTTTGAAGAAAACGGGCCTCAAAATTTGGGCCCACTCTTCGGTTTTAGGGGCCCAAAAAATTTTCCGCTGACGTTTTTTTCTCTGCCTTGAAATTCCCCCCCCCCCTTGTTTGTTCCCAGATCCGCCCCTGTGATGTAATGCAAATTGGTCTCTTTAATATGACGTCCGTAAGATAAACCATCAATACTAGGATTGTCAAAACTTGCATTAATAAAATCAATTCCCGTCTCATCACTGTCACACCCACTACTACAAGATAATGTCTCTTAGATATTAAGCTGCAAGCTATAAACTAAAAAGAATCAACTTCACTATCTGCTGCATCACTATAAATATAGAGGGTTAATTATTGTCCTGGAAGTGATGCACTATATGCTCGTAATACTTTTTTATTCAAAATCAAAAGTCAATGATACTATTCCTATTTTACCTATTAAATGATTTTTATATATCCGAATAACCATTATATAAGTTTTTGGCAAAGTAAATAATTGTAGGGTTCACACAAGGATCAACTTTTTGTACTGGTGTAGACTCTCCTGCTTGCAAAGCAAGGGCGATGAATTGAGATTTTTCAGTCGAAACAAGAAAACAAACATATAATTATTTTTTCTTCAACAAATAAAAGATAAAATTGAGTTTACCTTCGTATTTTTTCAAAACATCACTTAATATGAAAATGCTGTGAACAAAATTGATCCTTGTGTGAGCCCTATAATTATTTACTTTGTCAAAAACTAATGAAATGGTTATTGGTATATTTAAAAAACATTGACTATATAAAATAGGAATAATATCCTTGACAACAGTAACTTTTTAATTGAAAACGCATTTTAAGGTCATAAATATCCAATTTTTTACCATAATTGTTTTTCATAAAATTACCACACCCGAATGGACTATCATTACACATCAATATCAAATTTGCATCTTATTTTGTAAACTTACAAGTATTATTTCAAAAAATGTATATTTTTCAAACTCATCTTTTTGACGGTCGCACCTTGGTGCAAGCCGTCTAGCCCTTTCGTGTCACTATTTTGACTGCAGACAAGTAAAAATTAATAGATAATAGATCAATCTAATATGACTATGGGTCAATTCATAGTAAGCTACCACAACATAGGTTTAGCCTAACTAAGCCACTTAGAAAGCAATTTGGCACACACTATTGGTTTCAAAGTTACTTAACTCAACGTCTTCAGACTGTTATTTCTAATGGCTGTAAATCGAAACAAACCTCATTATCTCATGGTGTCCCTCAAGGTTCAGTGCTTGGTCCTATTTTATTTCTTCTTTACATAAATGACATCTACAAATCCTCTGATTTCTTTGAATTCATACTATTTGCTGATGATACCAATCTCTTGGCCTCTCACAAAGATTTACCCACTCTATTTGACACCGCAAATGAAGAACTTTCAAAGCTCAGTGACTGGATCAATGCCAATAAACTTTCTTTAAACATTGACAAAACTAAATGGATTCTCTTTGGACCAGGTAAAACTTCTAACAATCATTTTCTCAAAATAAATGACACCAAACTCAAGCAAGACATCATTATATCTTTCTTAGGAATAGCTATTGATGCCAATTTAACTTTCAAAGAGCATATCAAAAACTTAGAAAAAAAGATTTCTCAGTGCATTGGGGTCTTGTATGGAGTCCATAATCTTTTAACAAAAAGTGC